GGGTCGAGTTATAGGCCCAAGAAGTTATAGATCGGACAAGTCCAAGTTCCTATCATACCCTTTACGGGTTTGCTCAATCTTAATTTAGAGAAATTTTCAACACTGGGCTCATCGAAACAAAAGGCAAACACACACACCACAGAAACCCGAAGTTGATGAAGTCGAGGATGGATGATGCAGATATGGAATTGGTTTTGTGGAGACAGGTATCAGCCGAAGAATGTGACGCCGTAACTTTAATCTGCAAAAAGTTGAGTAGCCAACTGAAACAACTCTCAATCTGCAAATAGGAAAATTTTCATCAAATTATTATCTGTCTAGTTAAAAGCTATATTCCAACAAGTCAATGATAATTTCATCGTAGGATGTTTTTTTGGGCTAAAAGATTCAAATCCAATCACACCAATAAAAGTAAAATTAAATAATAAATCAAACACACAAGAAATAATAATTTAACATAGTTCGGTTCGATCAACTTATATACACGAATAAAAAACAAGATCCACTAGTTGTAAAGAATTACAAAGATACATCAAATCTCAACATCACTCAACAATCAATACTCATAAAACACTCTCAATCATTTCTAGTCCAATGGAGTATTCTCAATCAAAACAAACACAAATCCAAACCCTTGTGCATTCTTTCAACATAACCAAACGCATACCCATATGCTCTCATACATCATACCTATGTGGACCCTCTCAATCTCCTCTAGTCTACTCACAAACAAACATACACACCCATAAGACGTAGAGCCCCAATACTCCTATGGAATGTCTATCTCACAAAACCCTATAACTTTTTTACATCTTTTTCTCATAACTAACCCTATAAAGACTTCACCTATTTATAACCATATAAACTTACTCATTAAAAATCCCTTTCCTCTTATAATTATTCTTCTGTAAGTCAAACTTGCCTATTAAGAATCTCTTTCCTTTTAAAATTCTTCTCTTGCAAGTCAAACTTACCTATTAAGAATCCTCTTTCTTTTAGAATTTTTTTTTTTTTGCAAGTCTTCTTATCCATCAAGCAATATCTGACAAATCTCAAACAAATCTCAAACAAATCTCTTATGGGATTTGAGTCAATATTCCCAACAATCTCCACCTTGACTCAAATTTCATCAATCATCTGTCTTCATGCTAGACATGCTTGGCTCCACCTGTAATGGAAGTCTCACAATCATATTTTCTTGTATGTCTTCACACTTCATACAAACTGATCTTCAATCCTCAAAACTTGAACTTGAACTCTTTTTTTGAATCGAGCTCCTCTAAACTTACTTCTTCCCATGTCTTAAACCAAGCTCCTCCCATTTCTTGAACTGTCAACTCTTTCATGTCTTGAACCTTCGACTCTTTTCACATCTTAAATCTTCAACTCTTCTCACATTTCGAACCTTCAGCTCCTTCAGCTCTGATACCACTTGTTAGGGAACACCACAGCTCTGATACCATTTGTTGGGCTAAAAACCTCAAATCCAATCATACCAATGGAAGCGAAATCAAATAATAAATCAAACACACAAGAGACAGCAATTTAACGTGGTTCGATCCAATCAACCTACATCCACGAATGAGAAACAGGATCCACTAGTTGTAGAGAATTACAAACATACATCAAATCATCAACCTCACTCAACAATCAATACTCATAAAACACTCTCAATTTCTTCTAGTCCTATGAAATATTCTCAACCAAAACAAACACAAACCCAAACCCTTGTACACTCTTTCAACATAACCAAACTCATACCCATATGCTCCCATACATCATACCTATGTGGACCCTCTCAGTCTTCTCTAGTCCACTCACAAACAAACATACACACTCATAAGACGTAAAGGCCCAATACTCTTATGGTTATCTATCCTACAAAACCTACAACTCTTAACCATACAAATTTACCCATTAAGAATCCCTCTTCTCTTAGAATTTTTCTCTTATAAGTCAAACTTAACTATTAAGAATCTATTTCTTTTTAGAATTATTCTCTTATAAGTCAAACTTACCTATTAAGAATCCTTTTTATCTTAGAATTCTTCTTTTACAAGTCTTCTTGTCCATCAAGTAATATCTGACAAATCTCAAATAAATTTTTAACAAATCTCAAACAAATCTCTTATGGGATTTGAGTAAATATTTCCAACAATTTTGACAAGAATTTGAACAATGGAATAAAGTTTAGACACGGTTAAAAAAATGGCAATAATAAAAACATGAATCAGCCCTAAATCTCTGTTTGGTCGCAAAGAAAATAAAAAAAAAAAAGTTAAATTCAGCGGTTTCTGTCCCAAATTGGTTTTAGGTGATAAGCGAACTCAAAGTCGTATGCATAACCTTCGTGAATGTCACAAATTCACTCGAAATTTCTGATCAATCAGTTCGTTTTTCTTGCATTTTCTCAGCAACCAAACGAAACATGAATCACTAATAAAATAATAAGCACTAAGTTATTTTACTAACCTTTAACGGCCAATTCCTGAGAGGAGTCGAGCTTTTGAGGATGTCTTTGAATAAAACAAGTTGTTTTATGTTCATCTGATGTGAAGGATTAAGTAGGATGATTCGGTGGGCCATAATCAGTACAATTCAATGGGCTTTTTATAAGGGATTTAATTGATTTTAAAAATATTTTTAGAAAAATAAATTAATGTAGTTATCAAATTACCAAGAATTTAATTGATTTTGATAATTTTTTTAAAAGAAAAAAAATTCAAAGCAAATTACCCTTTAAGAAAAAGAGAAATACAATAAAAATTTTTGAAAAAGAGAAAAAGAATAAAAGTCAAAAAGGTTTAAATGTGAAACAAATGAAGTTGGTTTCTTAATTATATTTTTAAATCTTTAAATCTATTCAATGAAATTATACTAAAATGTGAGACGCATGGAGTTGTTTTTGTAATTAATCCTTAATTTGTATCAAATCTTTTGTTGATTTGTTTTTGCAATTTTTTGAAAACAAACTTTTCAACTAATTATTTTTAAAAATTTATCTTCTTCAACTTAAAATCTTGATCTTATAAGTTTATTATAATCTATCATTTAATTTGTAAATAATTTTTAAAAAAATTAAATTTACCCATATTTTATTTTTTTAAAATAAAAAATAATTTGCTGATTAAGTTTACCAATATTCAATTTTAATTATTGAATTTATAAAATTTTATTCTATTAATATGAACTAAATTACTGTCAATATTTTCATTTATAAAATATATTTTTATCACTCAATTTATATATGTATTTATAAATTTAAGGAATTAAACCAATCCAAACCAAACCCAATTTCCTTTTTTTTTTTAGTTCATTAATGAAAATACCTTCTCTGTTCATCTTCTCAATTTTCATGTAACACCGCTCATCTTCTCTGTTCATTAAAGTATTTACCATTCACATAAAAAGCATGGTTTCGATTCCCATCTTTTCAAATCAACAGAAAAAGAAACTCTTTCTATGGATTCCTTTATGATTTGCTTATTTACCCAATGAAAATGAAATTTTACCTTCTACTTACATTTCGGTTAAAAAAATTTACCGTTGTCGGCATTGGTGATTAAAATTTTGACACTTGAAGAATAATGGAGGTTTTGATTTGGTCATGAAATAGTAATGCTTGCCAATTGCTGCTAGACTAATATACAGTCAAAACCAAAAGAAGCAAATAATTCCTAGGGTGAAAATTATGAACATGACTTTAGTAATTTAAGACAATAGTCAAAATTGTATGGTAATTACCTGGTTTTAGCAACAGGATAGTTAAGTTAGATAATGGTTCACTTTCAGTTACAGTTGATAAAAAAAAAAATTTACACAAAAATATCAAACATTTGATGTGGTATCTTCACTTGCAAATTAAACAAAAAGGAAAATGACCTTTAACTAAAGAAAGATTCCAATTTTCGAGCGTACAATGGTCAATGAAGAAAGACCATAAAGCTTGATGGATCACATTGATGTCCACGTGAAGTGCATCAAGCTCGCGCAACAACCTTCAGTACTTACCATTGCTTAGTCTAGTAGGAGTAGACATTATCATACAAAACTTGTTTTACAAAAATTTAAAATTGTTGTCCTTTTAATATTTTTTTATATATATATAAGAAATGTGCATTATGGTTCAAATCTATTGCTTCTACCTCAAATTAACAAATTGTTGATATATATTGTATTTCTTTAAGATATTTTTAACAAATTGTTTACCTTGATAAATTTATGTATGCTTAACTTAAATTCTGATGCTGAATTTGTTAGGAGTCCATGTGATCTTATAAATTTATAAGGTGTTTGATAAATAATTAAAAAATAAAAACTTCAGCTATTTTATTTTTTTAAATATATTTGATATTTAATTTTTAAAATCATTTAACTAAATTTTTAAATAAAAAAGTGTAAAAAATATTAAGTAACTTTTAGTTATAAATTAAAATAAAAAAAGGATAAGGTTATACTTTGCCATTTTAAACTTTAAAATATTCCAATTTAATATTGATTTTACCAATTTATCATATACTTAATTTAAATGATCGGTGGGAAATTTTTTTTTTTTTTTTTTATGACTAATGAAGCCATAATCAATAGGGGAGATTTTGGTAATGCCCCGTGCTTGTAAACTTCATATGAAATCAAACTCTCAACCCTTTAAGCGTCCACCGCAATTGTCTCTTATCCTTAATTAAAAAAACAAAAATCAAATTTCCATGTTTCCCCCTTTAAAGACTTGCCTTCATCACTAAAACGTTCCTTTTTTTTTTGTCTAGCTTTTATTTAGATAAGCATTTGGGATTTATTGATATATAATCTTAGAATTATGAATTTAGGAATTTAATTACAATAAAATTTAAAATTTAAAAATCTCATCATATACAACCAATTTAAATTCTAATTTAAATCGAATTTACATCTAACTCAATAACTAAGGAGATAATATTTATTACTAACAAACCAAGTCAAGTTAATTAAAAAAAAAAAAGGCAGCTGTATTAAAAGTTAGAAAGGAGGATTTCTTTTGGAAAGGTGCTGCCCGTTTTGGCTTTCCTCGGTAGTTTATAAATTATAAGTGATGCTCTGCTACCTCAGCTTCAACATTTCTCTCTGCTTTCTCCTCTCTTTTTAGAGCTAGGAATCTTGGATTACATTTGCACAGCCTTCAAAACCAGAATCTAAGGTCTAATTTTTCTTCTAATCTTTCCTTTTTTTAATCTTTCTTTAAATATAGTGGAGTGCCCTTTTTCTCTTTTGTTTTCTTGAGACCAGAATCCAGACCATGAAAAACAATCCAAAGGTTGAAGAAAACTTTCTATGTGATCAAAACATGAAAACCCATTTTGCCATTCCTTGGACCTTCCCCAAGTTAGCAGTTTCTTCCATCATTTTGATTTCTGTTCTCTGCGTCTTCTACACAGTAAGCTTCTTGAATGCTTCAAACTCATCAAATCAGGAACTCAGAATCATCAAAACCATTCATGTTATTGAACAAGTGATAGCCCCACCTGTTTCATCCCAAAAACCAACCCTCCTAGAAAAAACAACCCTTCACCACATAGTTTTTGGCATTGCGGCATCAGCTCGCTTATGGGATCACAGGAAAAACTATATCAAACTATGGTGGAAACCCCAACATATGCGTGGCATCGTCTGGTTAGATGAGGCTGTAAATAATGGAACTGACGACCATTTTTTGCCACCAATAAAGATCTCGAGTGATACTTCAAAGTTCAAATACAAGAACCCGAAAGGCCACCGTTCTGCCATAAGGATATCCCGCATAGTTTCCGAGACTCTACGACTTGGCTTGGAAGATGTGAGATGGTTCGTTATGGGAGATGATGATACATTTTTTGTACCCGATAATTTGGTTAGAGTTTTGTCCAAATATGATCATAATCAGTTTTATTACATTGGGAGTTCTTCAGAGAGTCATTTGCAGAACATAAATTTTTCTTATGGGATGGCTTATGGCGGTGGGGGTTTTGCCATCAGTTACCCTTTGGCTAAAGCTCTTGCAAAAATGCAAGACAGGTGCATACAAAGATACCCAGGATTGTACGGTTCTGATGATCGGATTCACGCTTGCACGGCTGAGCTCGGAGTTCCTCTCACCAAGGAACACGGATTTCACCAGGTTTGTCTGTTTCTACTTTACTCCTTTTAAATTCCTTAATTTGCTGAAAATTTTAAAATGAAGAAGTTATTGAATGATTCAATTGTTTGAAGATTTCCTTTTCGTAACTCCAACTTGTTTACTACTACTAACTCTGGATGATTTTTTATTCTTCCATGGGTGACACGGTCTGGAAAAGCTTGTAATTTCCTCAGTACTTTACTCTTGTTAATTTATTTAAAGTGAGGCGTCCAAATCTAGTTTTTTCCTACATTTATTGAAAAGTTCAAATTTTGTTTTAGCTAATGCAATGCACTAATTGAGGGTTATTCCATATTATCTAGGATTAAATAAAAATAACCTAATCGAACCGCTAACTCAGTTTTAGTTTTTTTTTTTTTTTTTTTTGGCACAACAAGATTTTAAATAGAAATAAGAGAAAAGATTGTACACAAGTTGAACCTCATATTTATTAAAAATTATTTTTTAAAAATAATTATATAAATTGATTGAATTAAGTTACAATTCTTGAGTTTTAATTTTTAAATTTCTTTTAAAAGCCTATTAGAATTAGTTAATAACCTAATCTAACATAACCAATACTTTTGGGGGGTTTATCATGATGTCCTAGGAGTTAATTTAAAGTGAGTTGTTCAAATTTAGCTTTAAAGTAAACTTTTGTTTTAGCTAATGCACTATTTAGGGATTTATTCCCTATTATTTAGGAATAATAAGAAAAACCTAATCCACTAACAATTTGAATTCGGACCGTCCGATTTGAATTATTTAATAAATATCATACTTCTTTTTTGGTTTCATAATCATGATGTCCTGGGAATTTTTTTTGTGGTCAAAATTTCCCTATTTCCATCTACTTAGGTTTCTTTATCTCGCATGTCACGGCATTGATAAGCACAGCTTTTGCAAGCCTGTTTTGTTCACATGTTTCAGCATCACCGTCATATTCCAACGAATTTGTTGACAACCCTTTTGAAACCAAAGTCTAAGGCGGTGGAACCTAAGCCAATACTACTACAGTTCCATCATTTGCCTCTGTTTTAATAAATGTGTTTAGTTAGTACTTGTGGCCTCAAATTAACGTTTTCGATCTTATTCTGTCTGTCTGCCGTAATTAAACTTTTTTTTTTTCTGTTTCTTTTGATTCCTAATAATATTATTCACCCACGTTGATGACACGAACTCGTTCTCAACATCTTCTATATGGACACAAAATGTGCTTGACTTGGTACATGCCCAATTCAAACAATTTCATAACAGATTGATGGGACTTTTTGTTTTTTTGTTTTTAATTTTAACAGTTAGACAATCTGATTTCAATTTTTTTTTCAAGATTTTGATTCCAATACGGTGCATTTAAACTCTCCTTCTATCGAAAAATTCATTTTTCATGAGTTACAGGATTGATAATTTACCCTAAATTTGTTGAATGAAACACAAATAATTTACTTCAATATTTTGCTAATAAGTGTTTTAAAAATACTTTTAAATTATTATAAAGTAATATTTTCTTTCATTAATGATTACTAACAAAGTCTTTATTATGGTTTATTTTTATCAGTACGATGTATATGGTAGTCTCTTGGGCCTCCTGGCAGCGCATCCTGTTGCGCCTCTCGTCTCTGTCCACCACCTAGATGTGGTTGAGCCCATATTCCCCAATGTGAACAGGGTCCAAGCCTTGCAACGTCTAAAGGTTCCAATTAATATGGACTCGGCTGGAGTCATGCAACAATCCATTTGCTATGACAAAACCAGAAGCTGGACAATCTCGGTCTCCTGGGGCTATACAGTTCAAATATACAGGGGCATATTTTCAGTTAGAGAGATGGAAATGCCAGCTAGAACTTTCCTGAATTGGTATAAGAAAGCTGATTACACCGGCTTCTCTTTCAATACCCGTCCTGTTAGCAGACATGTTTGCCAAAACCCATTTGTGTATTACTTGTCTAATGCATTATACAACAAGAACACAAATCAGACAGCTAGTGAGTATGTTCAGCACCGAGTTCCATTCCCTGAATGTAAGTGGAAGATGGCAGATCCTTCACGGATTGAGAGAGTGGAGGTTTACAAAAAACCCGATCCAAAATTATGGGACAGGGTAAGTTTTCATGCTTCAAAAAATTTGGTCAATGTGCATGAAACAGTTTTTGATTGCATGCTAATGGATGAATTTCTGTTGTGTTTTCGAGCAGCCTCCGCGAAGGAATTGTTGCAGGGTCTTGCCAACCAAGAAGAAAGGCACCATGGTTGTTGATGTCGGAGTGTGCGGAGAAGATGAGTTCATAGAACTGCGATGAGCAATTTCACTTTTCCTCCCTGCTCTTCATAGTTGATTAAAATTTTTTTTCTCTTATTCAACCTTATTTGTCTTATATATCAACGGGTGATATGTAAAGAGTAAAAATATTTCTTTTTCTCCAACTGATGTCAAGTAACAACGTCAACATTGTTAATTTCGAGTTGAACTCAAAAACCTTACATAGGGACAAAAACATGTGCAGGTACAGAAACATAAAATAAAATTAATAGCATACGAAGTTCTTTTTTTGAATGAAAGGATATGAAGTCTTTTCAAACCAAGAATTCCATGCTTTGGGTTTGGTGCGAGGTCCACGCGCATATCCCTTATTCCTACCCAAACGCACACTGCTCAACACATGGGCCTAAGATACAAGGCAAATAGAATCACTCGCGTCCTGACAAGTGCCTTGTGTCATCGACATTCGCTTAACTAAGTCGTCCCCTTTGGTTTAATAAATTTTTTGGCCAGGTCTCCTTTGACTCAGTCTCGCAAAAACGGGCTCAAAATCTCCTCTCTCATTCTTATTTTTCATTCTCTACATGTTCTTTGATCAGTAACTCCGTTTTCTCTCATGGAAACTTTACTTACAAGACTTGGTTTCTCTCTCTTCCTTCTTTGTATATTTACTTTTTATGATCTCTCTTTATCTTTCTCTCCAATTGATGATTATCTCGTCAATTGTGGCGCATCCATGGACTCCACCGTAGACAATCGTCGCTTCGTCTCCGATTCGTCCGATTCTTCTAATTCACATCTCCTCTCTTCTGCTCAGACCTTTTCACTCTGTGCTGGAACTCTTCTTCCGGGTCTGCCTCAAATCTATCACACCGCTAGGGTTTTCAAGGCACCGTCAAAATACGTTTTCGATGTCAAAGATCCAGGGACGCATATGGTACGTCTCCATTTTCACCAATTCAGTTCATCAAAATTGGATCTTGGTAACTCTCAATTTCACGTTTTGGTTAATGGGTTGGTAGCTTTGACCAATTTTAGTGGTGGGAATTCGGTGGGTCCTAAGGTCATGGAATATTTGCTTTGGGTTAACTCAAAAAGGTTGAAATTACTTTCGTTCCTGCTAAAAGTTCGAAATTTGCTTTTGTTAATGCAATTGAAGTGATATCTGCACCTAAAGATTTGATACTGGAAACTGCTCAGTATGTGAATGGTGACAAAGTTGAAATATTTGAGGGTTTAAATAAACAAGCATTTGAAGTTGTGTATAGGGTAACTGTAGGAGGTCCGAAAGTTACTCCTTTTAATGATACTTTGTGGAGGACTTGGGTGCCTGATGTTGAGTATTTGAAATCGAGTGAAGGATCGACTAGGGTGTACTTTGGCGGTAGGATTAAGTACCAAGAAGGTGGGGCAAGTCGTGAAGTTGGTCCTGATAATGTATATGATTCTGCTCGATTGATTCATAGCAAGAATGTTTTGATTCCTAATGTCAACCTTACTTGGGAGTTTCCGGTGATTGAGGATTATAAGTATCTTGTTCGGATGCATTTCTGTGATATTGCTAGTATATCCCTTGGATTGTTGTTTTTCAATGTTTATGTCAATGGGCATTTGGCATATAAGGATTTGGATCTCTCGGCTGTTACAAATTACTGGTTGGCTTCTCCATTTTACGCAGATTTTGTGGTTGATGCTGATCATTCAGGGGTGGTGAGTGTAAGTGTTGGACCTTCAAGCAAGAGCATGGGATATGCTGTTGATGCTATCCTAAATGGAGTGGAGATAATGAAGATGAATAATTCTGTGGGTAGTCTCGATGGTAAGCTGCCCGCAGAGTTGGTTTTGAATTGTTGGCCAAGAAGAAGTGTTGGTATTCTACTTCCTTTGATTGCTCTTGTGTGTTTACTGCTCAGCTTATCAGCTATTATGCATAGGAGGAAGGATAAGGTGAACTCTGTTCAATGGTCAAAATTGCCTGTAGATGTCACAGAAATTTCCCCAAAACAAGGCAAACAACAATTGTCAAGTAATGTATAAACATTGTAATGCATCCACTGGCTTTGTTGGGCATATGGCATACTTTAGGAGGCTAGTAGTTCCCACATATTAAAGGTCTGTATTAACAGAATACATTATTATTTGCAATACCTACGCTGCATTTTATTTCTCTATATAACGATGATCATGTTTGTGATGCTTAATTGGTGATACTGGAATGATTATTGAATTCAATCATCTCTTGTTATTTGTGATGATAAGTCATTTTGTCACCTTCTCTGTTGATACTTTTAGGGCCTATGATAATTTGGTAAAAATGTCATCATAAAATCCAAGTTATTTTGAACCTTGGAATCATCTCATCCTCTCGAGTATTATTCATGAATTACCCTTGGAACCATATGTAAATCTTTGGTGAAGTCAGAAAAACCTTTGCTGCTAAATGCTATATTCCTTAAGTTTTTTTTAAACCCAAATTACTCTGTTATAGTAAGCATAATAAAACATTGGATGGGTGGTAATTTATTCACCTGAGAAATGAATCAAAGAGTTGCCCTAGGTTGTAATGTTTCTTTGTCGGTGTATGTTTAATTTCTGAAAATTTGTTCAAAATTTTCAGATAATTTGAGTATCTATATCCGAGTCTCATGCTCCACTCTGAATCAGTAAATTTGCCATTCTGTACTAATGTCACTCTGGTTGTTATGGATACTGTTTGGAACGGCTGTAGTTACTACTTAGTCCGATTATAGAGTATTATTTTGCCCTATGTTGTTTAACAGAGCTAAACAGAATGACAGCCATCATCTTAGGAAAATACAAGTCGTCTGTCATGGTCCGGGGAGCTGTGAATCTGCTAGAATTTGACTGAATATGTAAGTGATCACATCATTTTCAACCGATTTTAAAGATAAAACCGTGAAGTTTAATGGACGGAAATGGATAATTTTTTATATAATGGGCCATGGTTGATATCTATAATGGGCAGCGTAAACTTCTTGATGAGCTTGGACCTATATATGTTGGTAATGGACTTAAACAAATGTCTGAGAAAGAATACATTAGAACCCCATGGTTTCCACGGCTGAGCCAAGTCCATTAATAACATTCTCCTTTATATTAATATAACAAATTATAAACTTCGTTATTAATGATTTTGGCAAAAAAATTTATTTTTTTTAACAAAAATTCTTCATATTTAATTCATTGTAATAGTTTTTAGAGAGAAAAGTAGGAAAAAAGGCAATTTTAATTCCATATGGCTTTTGTTTTGTTTTGGAAAAGCATTTCTTTTTTTCAACAATGACCAACTCTGAAATAAAAAAAAACTTTGATAAAGTTTCTTAAATGAATTTTGTGAAACTCTTAATTAAAAATGATTAAATGAAAATTAAAATAGATAGATTGAAAGATTTCGTTACATATATCATGTAAAATTTGAAAAAAATTTTAAAAATTTTGATATGTATTTTTATATAAACATTTTTAATAAAAAGATTAACAGAATTTTTACCTTTATAAATATCAATCAAATTTAAAGTATAAACAAGATTTTTAATAATTTTTTTACATATTATTAATTTTCACATTAAATTTTAATAGTATATCAATTTAGATTTTTTATTAAAATTTTTATTAAATCATGTAAAATAAAAATTTTCATATAAATTTTCTCCCTCTGAAACAGTAATATCTAATTATAGCCCAAGTTTACCATATCTTTTTCCGGACCGCCGCCTCAGCAAACACCAAAGTTCACTCTAGCTAGCTTTCTTCAACTCTGAAGGCTAAGCAATCTAAGGCAAGGCCATAGGTACAAAAGGAATGAAATCAGCCAGGATCCTCCACACATCAGAAACTCGGCACACCAAGGGCACGCTCAAAACACACGAAAACCCATTTTATAAGCTGTACGGACACGGGACTTCATGCATTGTATTTGTATTTTACCACATTTTCACTTCAACCTATATAACAGTCAAATGCACCATAATTAATGGATACTATAGCTAATAACATTCATGCATGATTATAATTGGTATAAACTTTTCAAGTGTAACTTGGCCGGTTGTCGTCCAAATCAATGTGAAAAAAACTAAAAATATGATCTTCAGGGGGTGAGTAAAACTAGTTTTCAGGCTATTACTCATTAGCTAATGATAGAACGGCTGTTTTTATTGCATGAAGCTTGCAATTGGAGGGACATAAATTCATCCACGTGTCCAAGTCATCACTAGAGTTGACTATTGAGCAGACTCATCTTGTTCTTTCCCCGCCTGATTTTTGCCAGGCGATTCCCCAAATAGACAAGAGGTGGATCATGCCTTTTTTTTTTTTGTCCTTTAATAAATAATATACCTTTTTAGAAGAATTCTTTTCCTTGTATATTCTTTTTTTTTTCCTTTAATAAATAAAATACCTTTTTAGAAGAATTCTTTTCCTTGTATACATACATACCTTACTTATAATTTTGATTAATTATATAATTATAAATATATTCTTCCCTATATATACACATCACTCCACTGAAATTATCCTTAGAGATTCTATCCAGAAACACTAAGCTTTCTTTCAATCTCAAAAACTCATCCAAGAGAGAAATGGATTCCAGGGTGGTGCGGGCAGCAATAAGGCTGCTCTTCACTCTCATCGTTGTTGGAATTTGTATGATGTGGATCATGGTACCAACAAGCACTTACAGGCAAAAATGGAGGACAAGAATCTCCGAAAAGGTCGTTTCGACATATTTTGGAACACAAGGTTTGGCTGATTCTATAACCAATATTTTGATCCATTTCATAACAAGTTTCCGAGGTTTGTATAGTTTATCATAAGTTTTATTATATTGTAATCGCCGTCACAGGTTCCAATATGCTGATTTGGACTTTCCCTGTCCTCTTCGTTGCTACTTTGGGCTCTTTGTACCTTCACTTGGGAAAGAACTTGAATGAAAATGTTTTACAAAGGTAGAACAACAGTTTCAATTACTTCACATATATGTGTTAAATGTAAGATCAAAAACCCAGTTTTAATAGCTGTTTCTTTCATGGATTCTGATGAAACAGCAATGACAAAACACATCGGCTGGCGTTATGGAAGATGCCCATGTTGGTGAAAGGTCCTCTTGGGATTGTTTCAAGGATAGAGTTAGCCTTCTTGACCACGTTTATTGCACTCCTGATTTGGTCACTCGGAACTTATTTACACAACGGGTTACCTACCATTACTCCAAAAGTAGCAGCAAAAAATGGAGTCGAAGTGTAAGATAAATCCAGCATTCAGTTACAATTATTTCGAAATTTTCGAAATCCAAACATTTAATATAGGGTTTTGGACGACCTTTGGTCTTTTGGCAGATGGCAAGCAAAGTTAAACGATGTGGCTTTGTGGATAGGCTTTGTTGGGAACATATGCCTAGCGTTTCTGTTCTACCCTGTGGCTCGTGGCTCATCGGTGCTGCCACTGTTGGGTTTAACCTCGGAGGGCAGCATCAAGTACCACATATGGCTCGGCCACATGACCATGGTTCTTTTCACAAGTCATGGAATTTGCTACATCATTTATTGGGCTGTTACAGGCCACATATCTGAGGTAAATAATGTTCTTTATGGCCTAATAAATAAACAAGATTTTAAAAGGATATCACATTTTGGCATTTTTGGTTGAACCATTTTATATGCTTGGAAATAAAAGTTCTGTTTTTTTTTTTGTTTTTACTCTCCATTTTCTTTTTCATTATTGTTTGGTAATTGCAGTAAATGAGAATTAAACAAAAAAGGGTTGTAATTATCTGGTTTAAGAAAATTGTTATGAAGGAGAAGAAAAAAGACAATTCGACGTGGGAATAGACAGAAATCATGGCATAGAATCAAAGGTTGTTGTCATAGTTCGTTTAAAAACAGTGGAACTGGTCCAAATTATTTGAAGAAGAAACAAAGAAAATGGTTGTCTTTATCAAAGGAATCTTTTACTTTGTTGGTTTGCAAAAGGTGTTTAGTCATGTTTTGAGTCATTCAATTGTGACATTTCTTGTGATTTTTTTATTCAATTCTTTACTTTTAGTAAACCTTTTTCGGACACCTGTTTTTCATGCACAAACATTTGTGCACCAACTGGCAAGGCTCCAAAAATCTTGCGGTTCGGTTAGGATTATCAGATGGGTTTGACTTATGGGTTTAGGACTCTGATTTTGGGCCTATTTGGAAACTAAGGAGACATATAAGATTAGCCCAGAAGATAAACTGGTCCTGACCACCAAAAGAAAAAAATATAGTTTTTCTTTTTTCTCTCGAGATCTTCATACTTAAACCAAAACGTTGGTTCAATGCAGATGATAAAATGGAGTTATTCAGATATTTCGAATGTAGCTGGAGAGATATCATTGCTGGGTGGCTTAGTCTTGTGGGCAGCAACCTTTCCTAAAATCAGGCGAAAAACGTTTGAGCTTTTCTTTTATACACATTACCTCTACATTATCTTTGTATTGTTCTTCATACTCCATGTTGGCATCGGTTACTCCTTCATTATGCTTCCTGGATTTTACCTCTTCATCATTGATCGTTTCCTGAGATTCTTGCAATCTCGAAGGAGTGTTCGTTTACTTTCTGCTCGAGTTTTACCCTGTGCTACTCTGGAACTCAATTTCGCCAAAAGCACTGGTAATTAAGTAAACCACGTTTATCTAGTTATTTGTTTAACCCCATTTTTTTATGCGACTTGATTTGTTAATGTCTTTTTTGAAACTAGGTTTGAGCTATAATCCGACAAGTATCACGTTCGTGAATGTGCCTAGCATTTCTAAGCTGCAATGGCATCCATTTACAATCAGTTCAAGTAGTAGATTGGAGCCAGATAAACTCAGTGTGATCATTAAAAGTGAAGGAAGCTGGTCGACCAAGCTCAACCAGATGCTTTCGTCTTCTTCAATTGATCGTCTTGATGTCTCTATTGAAGGACCTTATGGACCTGCATCAAACCATTTCCTAAGGTTGCAATCAAGAAAAAAAATTTAAGTCCCCATTTTTTTTTCTTTTTTTTTCCCTACAAAGTTTTATTGTAATAATAACCGTGCCAAACATTTTCAGGCACGACACGCTTGTGATGGTGAGTGGAGGAAGTGGAATTACTCCTTTTATATCCATAATCAGAGAGCTCATCTTCAGTAGCAAAACATCTCAAAGCAAGACACCGAATATGATCCTAATTGCTGCTTTCAAGAGCTCTTCGGACCTCACTATGCTAGACCTCCTCCTACCAATGACCGGTTCTCCGTCTGAACTTTCTAATCTGCAGCTTCAAATCGAAGCTTATGTAACAAGGGAGAAAGAACCAACAACTGATAACTCAAAACGAATTCGTTCCATGTGGTTCAAGCCCCATCAAACAGATACACCTATGGCTGCCATTTTAGGCCCCAACAGCTGGCTCTGGCTTGGTGCCATAATATCATCTTCATTCATCATTTTCCTTATCTTAGTTGGGATCATCAGTCGCTTCTATATTTATCCAATTGATCACAATAAAAATGAATTCTCAACCTCTAAAAAGGCTGTGCTGAACCTTTTAGCTATATTTATCTCCATAGCCGCAACAGCTAGTGCGGCAGTTCTTTGGAACAAGAGATGGTATGCCAAGGAAGCAAAGCAGATACAAAGCATGGTAGGACAAACCCCAGAAACAGAATTGGAAAGCCTCCCCCACCAGTCTCTTGCAGAAGCTACCAAAATTCACTATGGAGAGAGACCCGACATAAAGAGTAAGTTCGTACAATTTGTTTAGTGGTTTACATAACCTTCTTTGTCACACTGATTTTTTTTTTTTCTTTTTATGATGATTTGGGTACAGGAATGCTATTTGAATGTAAAGGATCGAGCATTGGGGTACTCGTTTGCGGTCCAAAGAAATTGGGGCATGATGTTGCAGCAATCTGTTCATCTGGTATGGCAGATAATCTGCATTTTGAGTCTATCAGTTTCAGCTGGTGAACACTGCTTTGAAACCAATTGTTGAATAGCATGCAGTGGCTGAATGGTTTGTTTTAGGAAGATTTGTGGTGTATGTATGGGTTTCTTTCTAGTTCGTAAATTGCTTTCATGCAAATTTTCTTTCTGTATAATAGTATGGTTGTCTTAATTCTCTCATCTTCACCTTGTCAAATGCACCAAAAGGAAAAGTGGGTAACACAATATTATATGTTTACTCTGGTCCCTAAGGAAAAGGCCGAATTACGGTATCTGAAAACTGTTCACAAGTACATAATATCTATAATCAAAGTCAAACCTAACAGTAGCCAGTAGCCTCCAATGGAGTGAAAAATTAATAAAATAAGCAACAAAATAAACGAGAAAAAAAAATGCATTGTTATTGAAGGTATTGCAGCTCTGAAATCTGTTTCTTTCAGAATGGAAAACGAAAAAGAAAATCCTACTTTGACATAAATATCACAAGAAATTTCAGAGAATTTTCTACCATTCTCAAGCTCAAATACATGAATATAACAAGTGGTTTATTCAAATAATTTGATTTTATATTCAACAATGAATAAAGATTCACTTACGCCAGTAAAAGTCTTACACTTTTTTAACTCTGTTGGATCAAAATTAAAAATTCATAAAATTTAAATCAAAATAATATTTTAAAACCATTTTGACCCAAAGATTAAAAATATACATATAAAACTTACACTAATATAAGTAGATTATTCCTCACCAACAATTATACAGCTAAAATCAGATAAACAAAATTTGAAGAAAAGGTGGATTTAAAAAAATATACCTCTGCAACATGCAACTGGGCATGAAAACCTAAGAAGCTTAGCCTCTACATCTACAAAGAACAATTTTGTGATTCTAATGGGATACAAGGTTTACTGTAATATTCAAAGGCCTAATCATTCTCAAGACTTGGATTTCCGTTGGTCTTTCCTTATGCTTGATTGAAAAAATAAATGATACATGCTTTAAAAGAAATTTGTTACTCGGTTGGAAATAGGCATTTCCCAATAGAAATTTTTTTGTTTCGGTTAAACTTGATATCTACCTTATTTGTCTTCTGAATTTGCAATGGATGAAAGTTTCTCTTCCAAGATATCAATTAAATCATGATATTCAGCAAATGATGGGTGAGACTGACAAAAAAATTGAGAGTATGGTAAGAAAGTTGGATTTGGAGAAGAATATTGTGAAGATGATCAGAGCAGTAAAAGAAACATACCTGCAATGTCATATTATATGCTTTCCACAACCGCATATCATGCTGGAAAAGATCAAAAAGAACCTGCACGAGCCCATAAATGGATTGCTATAGATAACCCAGATGTCAAAATTACCTAGAAATCTAAAGAATAACATCTTTGAACTCCATCCAGGGTCCTGTTCAAGACCACCGGGACCTCAAGTAATATTGGCGTGCACCATTTTCAACTTTTCAGACATGGTTTTCCAAGTTCAGTTGTAGATAAAATTTGCAGATATCTTTCAAGGATAAAATTCAAAAACATCAGGTGAGAAATTTAAGGATAAACTTTACGGAGATATGTTACTGTTCTGAGTCTTTTGCAGCAGTCTTGTAAACCTTTTGAAGCAGATTTCTCTAATTCTCAGACGAATGAAATCACTTTTCATTTATTTTAAAAAATGTAGGAGGAGGTTGTAAAATAAAACCCAAGAAAGAAAAAGTTTTAAGATCTCAATTTTGAAGAAAAAACAAAGAACTCACACACTTCCACCAAATGCTTCCCCTTTAAGATTTAGATAAGATGTTTGAAATTCCACTTGATATTTTCTAATGAATGGTTATAACTTTTTTAAGGGAAGTCCAAAGTATATGCTTTCGTTATGAGCCACCAATTCATTAAAGAGGTAAAAGGTATGAAAAGTACATCAGTGATGCTAAAACTCAAACTATCATTAAAACCATATCTTTAATGTTAGAAGCAAAATATACCTCAGATCGTCTTAAAAGAGTGGCAAGGACAACTATCCACTCCTTAAACTTGACAGAGCACATATGAGCCAAGAGGAATTCAGCATCCAACCTGCTCTGCAATGTACCCATTTGCAGCTGGAGGGAAAAAAAAAAGGAGGAAGAAGGCTTAATCAGCAAAAGATTATCAAACAACAGAAGAGAAATTGTAGAAAAATAATGGTAGTTATTTTTCTGATATAGAGCGTTCATGGTTAGTACCTCAAGATGCCTGAGTCAAGGCTTTCGCAACAGTGTCTTACAGAAGACAAGCTATTTCGCAATGGTATATAATAATACAACAAAAAAAGCAAAGAACAAAGACTAACAAATTTCCAAAAAAATATTAGCACCTTTTGCCCAATCAGTTCAAGCCCTGAAGCAAAATTCTCCAATCGAGCAGAACCATATCTTTCTCGTTGAAGATATTCCTGCAATGAATTGTTTTAGTGGAACAAATGAAGAAAACTTAACCAAAGAAAATGACATCTTGAACAGATTCTGCTTTTCTTACCACTAAATCAAACTGAGTGCCTTTTACAAATGCAACAAGCTTGGAAAGCTCCTTTCCTGACATCAAATAGCCAGCATGATTTTCCAATATGTTCTTGACAGGAGCAATATGAGCACTTTGCTCTTTGAATGAGGTGCTGCTTCAAACCAAAAAAATGAAATGAATATCAAATAGAAATTATAACACCACAAAGGTAATGAAAAAACAATTTATGGAAGTTATTACCTTTTATCAAGTGACGGCCTCCTGTAACTGGAACGAAAAAGAAAATAGCCCAAGAATCTAGGAGATAATCTGTCAGAATCAGTAGATGCTTGCTCATAGTCTCTCCCTGATCTCAACAAGAACCTCACCTAGGAACAAAAGAGGAGAAAGAAATCACAAATCCAGAAAGAGTTTGGTACCAAAAAATTCATTTAAAGAAATATAACCATGACAAAACCACACCAGCTCTCCAGCAAGTTCATATAATGATTCGTCGAGTGTTGCCTGCATAGGATTTAATAATGCTTTCAAGAGTCTTAAAAGTTTAGAAAATGGCAAAAAACAGGAAAGAGAGAAATAATTGCATATGAAACTATCAGCAAAGACCTACCTGCAATAAGCGAAGAGCACAATACTGACTAACAGCAGGACCTTCAAGTTTAGCAATTACCTGCACCATTTATATAACAAACAAATCAATCAAACTATTACGTAGCACAGAGGATGATGATTTCTATACTCTTGGTATCTGTTGAAAGTCTCATGTAACATTTCTGACAAGGAATTCGCATGCAGTAAGATAGAACATCTCCCTCACCTCTCATAAATAGCCTGCATATCACATATAAGGAGGAAGAGAGCCAAACAAAATTCTTGAAAGATAAACATACTCTGCACTCTAAATTTACTTGGGATGGGTTGAATGTAAACTACTAAACTGTGTAAGCACCCAGAGCACGCTTTTAAAACAAGCCTATATACATGTAATAAGAATAATTCTAACCAGCTGAGCTCTCAAAACAGGAAATGTCTTTGTGCAAAATTGAAAAGAATGACAGCAAGAAACAAGCTTCGTTTACCACAGAATTAAAAATTTGATGATTCTTACAAGAATGTAGCAAGCTGCAGTGCGGTACCATCTCCGTTGGAAGCAATCTTCAAACAACCTTTTGCAATAAAATTTGTGAGGGCAATTTTTTAAAGGAAAAGGGATCAAAACATGCTAATATATACAAAATACATGGAGCAATAATGCAACTGATGCCCAATGTTTACTAGGTTGCAACTATTACATGATAGAAGGAAGGTCAAATCTACCCAAATATCATTAATCACTATAGAAGATCAGGAAGAGAAATCTTATTCTTAATTCTGCTCAAATCACAATATTGCTGAAAATATAGATCAGGATTCATGAAACCAGTTTTTGCCTAATTTTATAAAAACATACATACAGATACACAGTATGCATATAACAACAAAAATAATAGATTCATTAAATCTGGACTCTAATAAATGTTCAACATCTTTTCAAACATGTTTTGCAATGTTAACTAGAAAAAAAAAATAAAAGAGGAGAATTAGAGAACATACTCAGTTGATCTTCCTGCAGCAATGAACAAATCAGCCCAATGTCTACCATCAGTTTTTCTTGCAACACTCACAACGACATCAAGATACTCAGGGAAATTTCTGATCAGATCACAGGTCTTCTCCAAAAGAGAGATATCCTCTTTTGGGACTGAGATCTGGTTTTTATTCACATTTTGCCTGCAAGGTACTACTATAGTTTAGAGTTACAGATAGGATAGGCATGAAGAGATACAGCAAAAAGAGAAGGGGAGAAAAGGAAAACACATCAAAATCTCCAGCTTTCCAGAAAACACAAAGAGATCAAGTTGGCCCATAAAAAGGTTCAAGCAAAACAGAAGAAAATTTTGCTAAGCAGCAAGCTTATATGGAAATTTATACTTGTCAAGCTTAATAAGCCAAAAGCTAATAAACTGCAACATTGGGACTGCGTTAAAATGCCCTCGTATACATGCATAGAATGACACAACATGGTCATTTCAAGCTCTTAAGCTAAATCTTAAGGTTTAAACAGCACTTGTATGAATTAAAACTGGTTAGCCTCCAGTAATTTTCAGTTCAATAAAGATAACTTGGATAGTCATTTTTCCCAGTTAAATAATACCTTGAAATCTCAGCATCAAATACAGTGAAAAGAAGCCACTCTAAACAATGTGAAAAATGAGGCTTCTCTGCTGATATTTGTGCCAAATGTAAAGCCTCCTCGCTTTTGTTCCTCTGCAAGATACAGAATCAGGAGTAGAATCAGAAAGACTATGTAAAACCTAGGCAACAGCATTGTGCTTTAAAACAAGTGGGACCAACATTTAGAGCTATGACTTTCTATATATGACAAAAACAACATTCTTTATGAGACTCAGAGAATACATACCTCATTACAAACAACTTACTTAAGTTGCAAAAAAGTTGTAATAACATTTTTTTTGTCAGGCAATAACAAAAGTTTTACCATTGCTTGAAGGTTCTTGGTAAGAATCTTAACATTCATCAGCAAAAAGTGGCAAATTTACAACCAAAGAAACAAAAAGAGGCTTTTCATGTTCATTGCAGGCAACCTTGAAAAACCAACCCACAGTTCCTACCATTCCTTTTGGTAGAAAAGTCACTGAGCTTTGTATAGATTTCCCAAACACCATTAAATCAAAAGAATAAATCTCTTCCTGATGAAACACATAGATTTGACAGAAAAAATGGATAGACAGCTAAATATCATATAAAATAAAATAAGTAAATCATGTAAAATAAAATAAATAAAATCCTTTCTAATAAAGAGAGAAATTTTCGCTGACCACGCTTCCTTATGAATTTAGACTTTAAATTAAACGTGCTTTTGGAACTCCCGAACAAAGGAGGAGAATGAAGAGTGATACCTGAAGGAGGTGTCGAAGTAGGCAATGCAATATAGTTTGAGCTTGGGGAGTTGGCTCAAAACATGGAAACTCTGTGCATGCTGAAAATGACATTCTTTGCGAAACACCAACAACAACCCCAGTATTTGGAAGAAGCCCCAGAGGGTACACCTCACGGTCAAATTCCAGCTCTGGGTCCAACTAATGAATAAATGTTCAACTATTAAACTTAGTAGATGCACCAAATAACCAGATCAAGCACCTAATATACAAGAGATTATAATGTCTAAAAACTTGACTAAATAGGGAAATAATAATAAGACAAGAAGAGCATTAAAGGAGCAAGCAGATCAGACAGAAATCATAGTCAGTTTAAAAACACCTAAAATCCCATAATACCATGAATGCTTTACCATAGAGGGCTTTGAGCAATAATACCTGCAAAAAGTCCTCCTGCTTAAATGAGTCAACACCAGGAGATGGATACCAAACCTGTAAAAATAAGCTTCCAAAGTGATATTATATCAGACTAGTACAAACTAAAGAACCTATATAAGAAATCAGTAAGAGCCAAATGTAGGAAACTATCAACTTTAACAGTAGGTTACCTGCATTCCTCGGTGGCCATAATCCAACCAAGAAACGTCCTCAATTAGATTTGTCTTCTCCTCTGATTGACCACATGTAACCCAAAATAATTCAACAGAATCAGTGAGTTCCCTTTCCCGTCCATCATCCAAATCAAGTAGTGAAAGCTCCCCATTTGCTCTCAGTATCAGACATCTAGAAAAGCAAGTAAATATCAGAGAGCAGTGTGCAGAAAGTTCTATTTACCATTTCAAAGATAATACCTTGCAGGCTCTCTGACTGACAAGTTTGAGGAATATGAAATATGATTGTCAAGAGCACCCTCTCTCGGAATTTGATCAGGAATAAAACGCATCGCTGCAGGATGGCTCTTTGCTGTCATGATAGAGAGTTCTCGTACTGTAGAAAGCTGTTTGTCATTTTATCACTTAAAAACGTATGAAGAACAATTTACACACTATCTTAAAGCAATATCATTTACATATTGAAATAAAATACTAAAATAAAAGCAACTAGATAACATTCTTTTACCTGTAGGTCTGGAGTACTTGAAGGTGTCAATTCACCCAACAATTTCACATGGAATACGTGTACATCAAAAGGGCAATAAGTGACTAGTATATAATCTTCATACACATCCATCACCATTGGCTTTGCAAGCAATGGTCTACGGCAAAGTAGCGAGCTCTGATCAAGATGATATCGAGGATAGAAAAGCAACTCATACCTGCAATATTACATCAACCATGATAAAAAAACAGTTGCCCATGAAATTTAAAATGAAAAAATAAAAATTGATAAGAAAGTATATGTCAAAAAGAAAACAGAAAGAAAGAACAGAAACTTGCAGCCAAAAGCTTAGAAATGAACTGGCTAATTGTGAAGACTTGCCCAAGTATTTCAGGCATTTCTACATTTCCACAAATTAATCGACAATTCTAAGTATTTGGATAGACTAGACAAGTTCTGCTGAAGTAACAAAGAGGGCACAAATTTGCATCTCACGTGTTAGAAGAATCAATGTAGTTGCAGACAACAACGATCTTCCCCAGCCATAACAAACCTTTGCACTGAATCTTTTGCTCCTGAGAAATATCTCCAAAGACTCGCCACTTCTTCAGCCTTATATCATATAAAATCAACCCATGGACACCAGCAACTGCCAGATACATTCCATCCTTGCTCGCTGCCACATGTTGAACAGGCCAATTTTGGGAGATATAAGAAACCTGGACAAAATCAAAACCAAATTAGAAACACCCACATTTAAAGAAAACAGAACGAAGGCAGACAGTTATCAAAGTTATGATTTGGATGTATAACTGGAAGGTTCAAATGTAGCATCTTAAGCTCATTGGTATCTTCAGACTGCACAACAAGCAACCTATCTTCACCATAAATCACTTGACGGACATAAGTCATTCCTGAAACTCCTCTGCTCAGGCAACATTTTCCAAAAGAAAATGCAAGAATTCTCTCCAACGTTCCTTCCTCAATAGCATAAAGCCTATATCCATATTCATCCCACTGCATTAGTGACGTACCACCCATCAATGGTTCATATTTACAATCGTGGTTTGGCTTAACTACTGGAGAAGAAACAGAACTCAAACCAATTTGACGGATGGTTGACATTAGACGACATCCAGAAACAGACCAAACCGTAAGTCCTCTTAACTTCCACCCAACTGCAAAAGCAGAATTATCCGGTGTCCATGCAATACAACTGACAGAACCAGTGTCATCCATTGAATATCTGCCAAACGCCAAGATTGAGAAGTAAAAATCTTTCACCCTTAACAAATGAAAGCCTAAACCCAAATAAACATAGGGTTCAACAACTATTATATTTGAATCAGGCAAGAAAATACAGATAACCAAGCAAACATTATGGTCCAAAAGCTTGCTAAAATAAGCAGCAGAAAAGAAACTAACTAAACCACAAATTTATGAATCTACAAAACTCATGTCCTCGTATAGGGTACACTACGGCTTTATTCCGCCTCACTGTAATTATTCGTCACTAGGCATTCATTCCCTACCTGAATGTAAAGTGTTGCTTAAGATGGAAGTAGATGTTCAAAGTATTTGTAAAAAGGAGGTGAGTGCAAGTTGACAACCATAAGGAATGTGACTGTACAAAACACAGATTAGGCAAATATACTATTTGAGTGCTTTGCAGACAAGTACAATCATCAGTTAACTCTAAGAGCTAAATGTAAAAACATCACATTATACCACCAATTTTCTAGCTTTACCAATAAATACAATGCATACCCCCAGTCATATAAGGAGACAGTACGAATGAGCGACATTGATTCAGCCAAGTCATATAACTCAACAACTCCTCTTCTGGTACCAACAGCAAGGATCTGTTGATCTCCAGCAATGGAAGTACATACAGAATCACCAGATCCCACACTTTTTTCAGCTTTAATGGATTCAACTGGCTTTAAACCTTTCTTGCTCACAGAGCACGACACCAGTTGTCCATCAGAATATAAGACTAATAGCAGCCTCATTGGAACACAAAACTCTAATTGGGCTATAGCAGACTTCTTGGAGACTTTATAATTCAAGACAAGAGCTCCCTGAGCCTCTCCAGAAGCAATACCATTGGCTAGACTGCTATTACGTTCAAAGGAATCAAGATGAAAAGCTCCATAAAACTATACAGAAAAAGATAATACAAAAATTAAATTCTGCGTTAAAAGGAAAAGACACAAGCAAATTGAAACTACATGTTATCTAATATCTAGGGATTACCTCCCCTTTCCAGGATATACTATACAAAGATCCATCAGAAAGCCCCAGTAGCATATGTTTGTTATCACTCACAGTATTGCTTCTGCAACAATGAGGTTCAAAGGAAATGATAAACATGATGCTGAGAAGAACTCAAATTAAGGTCAAAACTACTGCAACAAACAAGGAATATTTACATGGCAAAATCCTTTCCCGCAAAAGGGATTTGTTCATTCAGAACACAAGTTATCGTTGCCAAAAATAAACCAGAGGGTTGCTTCCCTCTTATTTGTACTTTCCGCTCTGTGAACTGAACCTTGAAAATGTGAAGAAAAAAAGAAGATGTCTGCAAAACGAAAAATAGAAGGACTATAAAATCCATAACAAAGAAACTTATGCATTTAAATATCTTCAGAAGCACTACATCAAAACAAAGGGAAAAAGAAAAAGGCAGTTAACAAGCATTATCTTTCTACAATCAATGTTTTTGATCAATCCACAATGGCAAAATGAAACTCTATCCATCATATATAAACCCAAAAATAAAACAAACCAAGCCAAATATCATTAATTTCAACACACCAGTGTGAATAGATAAGAATTTAACAACTAATTGATCAAAAGCAATGCTGCACGAGCGGCTACTCTGCTTCATCTTAATTTATTGACTCACTTTACTCTTTAACTCCAAAATGCCAGCACTCTTATACTAAACCACCTTTTAATCCAACAAAAACAGATACAACCCTAACTAGAAGAAAAGCATAATCAATTTTAAGGGGAAAAAAAGTATCTCACAATAACGGCGATCAATTTGGAGTCAGGGCTCCAAACAGCCCGCAAATTCTCGCCTTCTCGCTGCACCGAATCCGCATCTCTCTTATACTTCCCTAACCTCACTCTATGCTGCAATCACCAACACAATAATTCATCAAAAAAATCTTCAAAACAGAAAGAAAAAAGAAAAACCTACTCCGAAATAAAAGCATGCATTTATATAAGTAATACCTGAGAGGAGCTCCAGAGCTCGATATGCGAAGGAGAAACGACGAGCAAGAGTCGGTTAATAAGTTTGAGGTAAATGATCTTTTGCGACGAAGGACACAGCCCTTGCTCTAATGGAATCACCTGCGGATACCCATATGCCATATACATCTTTCGTCTTCTTCAATTGCTATTGATTTTTTTTTCTCAGTTAGGGATCTAATTCAAGATATAGATCTGAGAGAGTAAAGTTTTTTTTTTTTTTTTTTTAAGAAAAAGAAGCAGATTAGATCTTGTAGATCCAGGGGAGGAGTGGCATTTTCTGTATTTTTTCTTTCAATATCGATCGCCTTTTTTACGTTTTTTTTTTTTTTTAATTTGGTTAATTTCTCTTTCTGTTTGAAGAGGAAATGATGAAATGGATTTTGATCTTATAATTAAAAATATAAAAATCGACGTTGTACCATAAAACCGGTCCCACTCCCACCCTCCATTGATTTGTCTTTTTATTTTAGAAAAAAAGACCAGTTCCTTAAAAAAAAAAAACCCGAATGGACCGGAGGATGGGCGATGCAAATATATTAACAATGGGCTTAATAGAAGAAAAAACTTACATGAAAAATCATACATTTGGCCCAAATTAAATCTAGTATTTGGGTACCCAACGGGCCGACACTTGGGTTTTTATGTGACAAAGGGATAGATGAACCATAAGTACACAAAGAGTCAACATTTTTTTTTTTTTTTGCTAAAAGAAGTATTATTATTCAATTTTAATATTTTTGTTCAAACCTCGCTTTGTTTTTATCACTTGAATTAATACACAATATAGTCTGATAGAATCATTGAAACTCTTAACAATAATAGATAAAACGATGTAATATCAATCAAGTTGTACATGAGTGAGTACCATAACCCTTATTCACTATTGTTTTAGTTAGACAACTGGAATGAATAATTTGACTAAATTGGCAATGCTTTTGGAGAACAGCTAAGAAAAACCTGGTCCTAAGTGTGACATCTGATAAGAGATCAATAATTTATGAACAGTTATCTGAATAAGTCACTAACGTATTAGAGAAGAAGAAAGAAATCATGAATGGTTTTGTGATAGAGAAATGTGAGAGAACAGGGAACAAGTGCTTTTGTACGTGATTTTTAGCCATAATGTTGATGAAAATAACGTTGGATGTAGTTGGGTATGGATTTCTTGTCGAGATTTATTGAAATATTAAAATTATAAATAATATCTTCAAACTTCATGGCACATCGTTTCACTGATTTCACTTTCGAAAGGATGGTCTCCTAATCCAGCTCATGATTCCGTGTTGGTTGGCCAGGGTTCGTGCCACCGATTGACGATTTTTTATTTGTCATGTCCCCTTCTCTCCTCTGCCCTACCAGCCCTCAAAAACTTTCCCTCTTGATTCTCATTGTCTTCCCCTCTTATCAACTCTTCATTTTTTTTTTAATTTTTTCTATTCATCATTGACACAATAATAAATCTACCAATTTGTATTAAAAAAATTCATTAAAAAAAAAAGAGAACAAATGTTCTTTACGTGGGAGATATGGATTAATTATAAAAATCAATAAAAAAAATATAGATAATGTTTCTTTAGAGAGTCATGTTAATTATTATAGTAGTAAAATTTTCATTATTTTAGTATTTGACATGACTAATTTAAGTATAACTCTATCAAAAAATGTATAAATAATTCATAAAGCATCTAGATTTCAACCACCAATTTTATTTATCGATAATTTTTTTTAAATTAAGTGATATGTTATTAAAATTGTTATTTAAAAATTATAAATTTAAAAAAATTTAAATACGTAAATCCTTTTCAATCGTATACATAATAAAGCAAAAAAGTTTAGTGATAGATTATGAATTATAACAAAAAAAAAGAAGTTATTTTTAACTTTAAATCACTTAATTATTAATTTTAAGCATTTAGACACTCTAATATTTAATTTAATAATTAAAACTTAATTTGTTCATTTCAAAAAATAGAGTTTGAATTTATTATTAAAAAAGAATTACGCATTTTGACATAACATTATTATTCAATAAAATTTTTGTATAAAAAAAACCTCAACTTTAAAATAAAAAGGAATAATAAAGAATTAAAGTTAAAAATATAAACAATATAATCCTATGATTATGTCCTTTAAAAATACACGGTAAAATTAAAAATAAATAATAAAAAACTAAAATTTTAATGACCCTTTAATCTTTGATTATCTCTTCCTGATGAGTCAATTAAGAAAATAGATGATGGATTGAATTCACAAGAATTTGCTAATGATGATAATGATTACTGACTAGGCGTCGCCGGCGTCCCACACTTACACTTCCTCACTCCTTCCATTTACACCACGTGACACGTGTGCCATTTTCGCAGAGATTCCCCTTTTAAATATTTTTTTTAAGAGTAACCCCAAACGCGGCCTTCCATAACTCACCATTCCCAATCTCACCCACCAATCAAAACTCAAAACCATCCATCCATGTCACAGTCAGTGACTGAATCACTCACATTTTAGTGTGTATTTACTATAATAATTTCCAACGAACGCGTGGCTGAAAGCAGAAGCTTCCTTTTCTCCCTCGTGTTCCTCTCAACTCTCTCTCTCTCTATAAATACGTAAACAAAAGCTTTCTCTTTATATTTTTAATATTGTTTGTGATTGTAAATTTGCTTCATGGGGTTTCCAGTTGGTTACACGGATGTTTTCTTACCAAAACTCTTCGTTCACACACTTACCTTTCTGGGTTTCATCCGAAATCTAATTTTTGCCCTTTTTAACTACGTGGGACTGTCCGATTTCCTTGAAACAGACACTGTCTGGTCGGAAAACCCGACCCGAATAATACCTGAGAATCCACCCGTATCCGCTCTCCTGATCCGGGAAATCCTTCCCGTTATAAAGTTCGAGGAGCTTGTCGTCGTAGGGGACCCACCAGAGAGCTGTGCCGTTTGCTTGTACGAGTTCGAAGGAGGGGAAGAGATCAGGTGGTTGAGGAACTGTAGGCACGTTTTTCATAGGGCGTGTTTGGACCGTTGGATGGACCATGATCAGAAAACATGCCCGCTTTGTAGAACTCCATTTGTGCCTGATGAGTTGCAGGACGAGTTCAATCAACGGCTATGGGCTGCTTCTGGGATCGGTGATTTTTACAGTGAGTACAGTTCGGTTCCGGGATTGTAGATTTTTTTTAAGGTGAAAGCGGGTACTTGTTTTGTCTTATCCAATGGCTTTTCTTCTAATGAGCTTAGTGAAACTTGTACATATTCCATGGCAGTTAGTGCATATCAAATAAAAAAAATGAAAAAAAAAAGAAAAAGTTTTCCTTATACAGTTCTTACAGTTTGAATGTTACAGTAATGCTTTGTCAGATGGAGTAATAAGCACTTATCAATCTACAACCTGTAATTATTTCCTATAAAATTAGTTAGCTTGAATTTCAATTTTATGTAAAATGAAAGAGTTGAAGTTTCGTTTGCACTTCATAGCTAAGAAATTTCCTGATATGAAATGGGAGTGTATTTTGGGGTAAACTGTTAAAAGATCTTTGTATCTAAAGTTTGTGCTATTTTTTTTTGTTACGAGGGGTTGATGAGTATGAATTGAGCTTTAAACAGTGGTGTCATCAAAGGTGATGATGCTTTTGTACTATTTTAATTGGCTTCTTTGCTTATTTTTAGTGAAAGTTTTTTGGACTACTAAATTATTAGTATCAACTCAACTTTGGGGTGTTGGAGTTTGTTAAGCAGGTGGCTGACCGATTTGTTAGGATCTTGTCAGTGCCTTGTCACGAAACAATGAACATGAAACCGATGACTCAAGGACCCCAGTTTTTAAGAAAATGATGATGTAATTCGGACCTCAATTTGGGTCCAATTCACAAAATCTGGTGCTATTATTTTATTATTATGGGCTTTTTTTTTTTTAAGCTTTTAGGTTTTGGTTTACCCATGGAATCAAAGAAAGACTCCAGTTTGAATGATTTTCCATGTGGCCATTTGGGAACAACTTGTAGAAGTTGATGAATTGTTGGGGTGATGATCAACTGCAGGTTTTTGTCTTCTCATGCTCATCTGTTAAGAATAGTAAAAATTTTTGAGTATGAGAAATAGCTAGATGCTGGTTGCAGATGCATTAAAGGTAGTGGCGAGGTGGGGATGCATGGAATTTTTATTTTTTTTTTTGCCTTTCCCATTGCCTTTTCAATGACGATTTTACTGAACTTGGATTCTGTGCTTGACCCATCTTTTTCTCAGGCCCTGTTTAACTGCCTAAAGGCATAAATTCCAAGCTGGCTCTGTAACACTGTCACACTGTAAACAGTGACATCAAAATACAGATGGTTTTTAGCATGGAATCCGAAATTCTGAATCAGACCCCCTGAAGACCTGAAACCATGTCTACAGATAGGGGCCCCTTCCAGCGATCTCCCAAAAACAACAGGATTAACAGGACTCAGCAGCCCCTTTTTATTTCAACTTTCAAGGAGACAAAAGAAAATCGAAGGATCCTAAATGAATCTGCTAACTTTCTTTATCTCACCTTTTCCGTTTTAATAAAGAAGAATCTATGAAAAATATTTAGCTCAAAGCTCAGTGCCTTAACTTTAACGTGACAGCGATCTAATTGTCTATTTTTGCTTATCCTATCTGGTCCTGCTTCTACTTTCTAATATTCAAACAAGTAGGAGCAGCTTAGTATTGGCTATTGGGATTCTCTACGATGAGAAATAATACTTCAAACAAGTTCAATAAATTAGGTTTAGCCCAAGATGCGGATAAACTCAATCCAATTTGTCGCGGGCCAAACTTCAAACCCGGTTCATTTCAAGTGTTCAACCTAATATACTTAAATTGCTATTTTGCATGCTTACTTTGACGCAAGGAAAAAGGATCGTGAATATGTGGTATGATATGAGTAAAAAGATTCATTGGCTCCTAATTGTTCAAAAATGAAACCTGATCTGTCCTGTTAATTTAAAGTTTCAGTTTTCATATCTTTATGATTGAAATAAAGATGCCATATCGACCACCGAAATAAAAAAAAATGGTATAGGGGATTTCAGTCTCTTACTACGCCTGTTTAATAGTTATGGGACAAGAAGGTGCTTCTATAGTTTTAAGGAACGTGTCTACTGGCTCGTTAATAGAAGTCTCTGTTTATCTATGTGTTCTTACTAAATACAAATTCTTGCAGATTCCTCTACGGATTCTAATATATCTCAATTGCCTCATTTGGGATGCAGTAATAGTAGTACATATGTGAGCATGATCCATCTCTCCCTATGTTTATTGCCGTTTCTTTCGCTCATGATCGGCAGGACATGATAGATGGTTCTTTTGACAGTGGATTGTGATTGGTCGTCGCCATTTCATTTTCAATAGGAGCAGTAGCGGGGGGTGCTACGTATGCCAAGAAATTGTTTGGTAAGAAAGAAACCGCTACAAAATTTCAGCAGCTATCATGAATGCAAAGCCAGGGGATTTTGGATGATGATTAGGGCGATACCATGGTTCCAGAAATGACTGTTAATGTTAATCACATTTGATTCTGGTAGAAATTGAAAGAAAATTCAACTACTATGTTTCAACAATCATAATTACATCACTGAGGGGAAAACTAGCCTAAAGCAAAGTCATGGGATTTTGGATGATGATTAGGGCGATACCATGGTTCCAGAAATGACTGTTAATGTTAATCACATTTGAATCTGGTAGAAATTGAAAGAAAATTCAAATACTATGTTTCAACAACCATAATTACATCACTGAGGGGAAAACTAGCCAAACGATGACCATCTTTTTCCATCTAGTTAAATTTTCGGCGAATATCATAACGATTCAGGAAAAAGTGATCAATGAATCAATCCAAATTTGAACATTGTGATTACTTATATTTGAACATTTATGACCATCTAAATCACTTATAATAACCTTGAGGATTAGGAGTGGGATATCCGCTTGAAGGAAAATTCTGAGTAGGTGGCGGGCATCCGGCAGGAAAGTAACCTGGAGCAGGTAGTGGAGATGCAGCAGCAGGGTAACCAGGAGGAGGTGGTGGACATGCAGCAGCAGGGTAACCTGGATGAGGTAGTGGATGTGCGGCGGCGGGGTAGCCTGGAATATATGGTGGACATGCGTAGCCATAGGGCGACTGCCACTGTCCTGGTTGAGGTGGATGTCCTTCTGCTGGGGGCAGTGGCTGATCAATCCGTGACATCTGCTGCACTGGAGGAACCATCATAACCGGTGGAGGCCCAAATTTACCATCCCTTCTGTCCATTTCAATCTTGTGCTGAGCCTGCATTATTCCATGGTATCTTAAAGAGTTATACGGGTCAAAAGCAAATAAAATCATGCACTTTGAAAACTTTAGCCTGGGTCCTATTTCTAAGCCAGGTTTGGTGTGTTCTGCATCTGCCTAATCTCTTTTACAAGCACTTTGTTTAATTCATTGCATACCTGCATACACGCACAGACCCTGCAAAACAAAACAATACGAACAATCAACACAATTTTTTTTTAAGGAACACTTAGCAGAAAGATTCAAAAGGGTACATTGAATGTCTTACGTGCAAAAAACGGCGTCAGTAAAACAATTCAATATCTCCGAGGCATCCTCAAGCTCATCATTTCCGCTAACAACAGCAATCAGACGAAATATGCATTCAAATTGAGCCAAACAGCACATAAATCCCTACAAAATACATTAAAATTTATTAGAATGAAAAGCCAAAGCCGATAATCTGACTAGGAAGAGGCAGAAAGACAGATAGATTACAATGATGCAGTTGTCACATTTCGTCGTCTGTATATTCATCTCATCTTGAAGAAGAAAGCGAGTTGAGGAAACCGAACTCGTGAAGAAACAGACGACCTAGAACGAATGGGAACACAATCAGACTCATTACTCATATATATTTTGTTAAATCCGGAAAGCGAGAAGAGTAAAAGAGCAGCTACAAGGGTTTTTATATATCTACCTCAGTGCACAGACAAAATTCAGGACAATGGCTTTCCCCTAACTTACCGCTGCAAGGCAGGGAACCCGCACAGCACTGGTACCTACAACATTAACATAGAACACCTCTTAATTGTTGCAAACAAATTTCAGTTCTGAATTCTGGTTGGATGATTAGACCTTTGGAAGCTATGAGATCCTTTACCTCGACATGTCATTGTATAGAGCTCGTTTCCGCAGCATATATGAAGCGCAATGGGGACTGTCATTCAAGAAACATGGGATGTTAGATAGTTGGTATCTGAATATCTGATCCACAGTACTAATAAAAATCTAAAATACCGCTTCCTAAGGGACTTGCAGTTGCTGCGATTTTCATTGTGATTCAGAATCACATTTATAGATGTGTAATAGAATTTGTAAGTTAGTTAAACCATGAGCTAGAAAATTATATTGCATGGCTATATAAGTTTATATTTAGTCTCAATTGAAACAAACCATTTATGTTCTATTAATGACAAAAATAAACCTCAAATAGATTCGTCAAAATAAATAAATAAATAACGTCCGCAATGATATTGTTACTGCAATTTAGAAGATGGGCATCTCATCAGATATCTAAGATGATTTTCTATAAACATAATACTGTAATTGTTGTGGGAATTGAATTTTAAAATATCAACAACAGGAGAAAAAGAATTGAACATAGAAAAAAAAAAAGGAGAAAATAACATCTAGGGGTGGCAAAGAAAACTCACCAGCACGATGCAAACAGGCAGTCTGCATATTCAAGGAAAAGAGAAAAGCAATCAGAGATATTCAATGTAATTGAAAATATAAAAGACTAACATATTACCACTACAAATAAATTTATGGAGAATGAAATTCATACCAAAAAGAAAAGGTCAACTGGCTCAGCAACCAAACAGGTAAAGTATTATAAACAAAATAAAAACTCCTATTATGCAAGGCAAAACAAGCACAAAGACAAAACATTCACATTCAAGCCGGGACAAAGAATTCCAGCATTCATTTTCTTATCCTGTATATTATCTCGGCGGGAACCAAGCAGAAACGAACCAAAAAGAAAATGGAGGAAATATGAAAGGGGTAAATATATATTTACATTGAGGATCGTCTCGCATACTGCCCATGAGACTACTGTGCCAGACATTGCTATAACTTTGACGAGCCACCATTTTCTCATACCTATCTTGGATCCCCATTGTCCTGATCAACTCAGATTCTAAAGACAAAAAGAAACTACAACGTATGAGAAATTGAAAACACTAGATTTTGTTTTCTGTCCCTCAGTCAATATATAGCATGAAAAAAAAGAGGCAGAAAGAGGGAAACGCGAAGTACAGCTGGTAGAAAACGAGAGGGAAGAAAAAAAAAAAAAAAGAAAACCGTTTCGAACAGAATCATCTGATTAAAAGATTCAGACAGGTTCCAAATTCTGGTTCGGTCTGTTTGACCTGTATAATTTGCGGCTTTGTTTTATTGCCACGCTGGCTTTTTGGTTAATGGAATGGTAATCATTATAAGTCGTTAAAGTGTGTTGGGAGCAGATATTGAATTAATTGTGAGTTGCGTTTTGTTAATTTCGGTTGGGTTAGTAATAATTTAGCTGTATGCTAGGTAAATTTTGCCATAATTGGGTGGATAATTTTCTAAATTAAGGAGATAAAATTTCATGCATGCTAAACTTAATCATGATTAAGATTTTATTTGGATTTTATTATTTTTTATGCGATATGATTAAATTTATTACATCATTAATTGAATTCAAAAATTAATTTTAATAAATTAAATTAATATAAATTTTTTATTAAAAATTTATTCAATTGTAATTATAATAATAATTATAATTATTTTTAATTTTATCGTAATAAATTTGATCACCAATTTAAATGCGACTTAAGTTGTTTCAATTAAATTTTATTAAATGTTTTTTATTTTTAATTTTATGGATTTTATTGGGTGATTAATAGCCTTTGCAACTTCCACGTCAAGAGAGTACTTGATTCTTAATGATATAATAAATAAAACAGCATCAATAACATAATAAAATTTCTCTCACCATTTATTCAAAAAAATCTTAAAAATCGTTTTAAATACATATGAAATTTTTGGTTGAATGATAAATTTATTTGCTTTTATTTAAAAAATAGTAAATTCTTTTTATTAAAAAATTCAATTTTATTTTATTTGGTTATTAATTTTAAATGCTCAATTCATTTCTAGAATTGTGGTTAAAATAATTCATTGAAATTCAGAAAATGAAAGATTGTAGTTGTATGAAATAAAATGAGCAGAGTTTGACCGGATTTGGTACAAAGTACGGCAGCCAATCCTATCCTCACACGTCAACACGTTTCAATGAGTTTGAGTACGTCCGATCACCAAAGTACGGCGTGATACTGACCTTTCCTACCTACTTAGATAATTAAGGTAGGCTTTAACTTTTTTCAGGCAAATCCTTGTTTTTTCATATGTTTTATTTTATTTTTCACGTATATCAATTACGTTAACATGAAAAATAAATAAATAAATCAAATTTATTAACATATTATGTAAATTAATCATATTCATTAACATGTTTATTTTATTTTATTTTTGGCGATAAGTTAATTTTACTTATTTACTCACATTTGTTAATATTTAATTACCTACAACATGTAATTTGTTGACTTCACATCTTTCTACAAATATATATAGGTACATCTCTAATTTCTTCACTTTTGAATAAAATAAATAAAGATTTGAATATATTTGAAATCTAAAACAAAAATAATGCTACTGTAGAAAACGTAGTTACTGCTAATAACTTTTTTGCATTAATATCAGATTTTCACTTCATTACTTGCCAAAATTGCCAAAATAAAATTCTCATTTTGATTGTCAGTTTTTTAGTATGCAGTTATTAAATTTAACAACTGAACAAACTGTATATAAATCAAAATTTTATCAAATATTTATAATTATATATATATATAGTAATATTGCTCAATTTCTGATGTAAGAATTGCCAAATGCTACGCGAGAAAAATATAACTATTACACCATTATACTTTAGAATTAGTTTTTGGAGGTGAAAATGTAGATTTTTATTCTGAATCTATTTGTTACACGTAATTTACCATTTCAAACTTTTGTAAAAAAAAATGTTGTAAATTGTTTGTACTAATTCATGGAAGCCTTGACACCAATAAATCAAACTAAAATTGGCACAAATGGGAGTAAATATGAACAAATTTTATTGTCATCGACCAAATAAAAAATCAAATGCATTGTACTAATATTTAAAACTCTTTTTTGGATATGACAATGTAAATTATATATTTATTTATTTTTAAAGATGACAACGTAAATTTTATATATATACATAAATTACACATAACTTTCTATATTCAAATCAATTAATTTAAGAAGATTATCACGAAGGCGCCTTTGTATTTAGTATTTTGAACCAAAATACTTTATGTGCACATTCCGAATGATAGAGGAAGAATTAAATAATTATTTATTTTTATCTCAATCGATTTATGTTAAAGATTAGAATTAGTATAACTTATATTGTTTTTTTTTTTTTTTGTTAGGCGATGTGGTAAAGTTGGAATAGACTTTTGGACAAAAAAAAAATTGAATTGAAATACTCTCTATTCAATAAAAAGAAAAAAAAAAGTGAGAATGAGTAGCTTCAAGTAAAGGTGATTAACAAAACCTATGGGATTTTATCATAAAGCTTATAAATAAATACCACATGGAAAAATGTTTCCTTTTTGGCACGCCTAAATCACGAGAATCTCACAGCGCCACATCACTCAATCTTTAAATACGCTACCAGTTGAAAAATAAAAGAAAGAAAGGAAAAAGATAAAAACATGTTGAAATGACCAAAACCGGCCCCATCCATTTTCACATACCCCACATTGGTCCACTCGACACACACCCTACAGTATCTCTCCTACTGACATGTTGCTACTCTCACCCACGACAAAACCCAACATCATATAAAACAACCAAACACAAAGAAAATTAAATTACATAAATCTTAAACCCTAAAAATCCAAATAAAAACACATAACATAAAAGAGAAAACAAATGAAAAATACGATGATTTCAACACATTTAAACACAAAAGGAAATGAACGAACAAAAGAAAAAGGAAAAGAGAAGGGAAGCCCAAACCCTTTTTTTTTTTTTTATCCCTTCACATTAGGGACTTCAACGATCTTGCTTTAATGGGCTTCCTCATTCGCTTCCTGCCACTATCTTCATTCTCGTCATCCTCATCATCATCATCATCATCATCCTCATCATCCTCATCATCGACATAATCAAATTCTTCATTATTATCGATTTGTGAAGAAGAAGACGGCGTCGTATTGTTTTGAGTTGTGATAGCGCTGCTGTTGTTTTCAACTTCTTTAGCCTCAATAATATTCTTGCTGATTTCGCCTACTCTATCGCTGCCGCCTCTTCTTTTTCGCCACGACGGCCCAAACCCAGAATAATAGTAAAATTCATTTGGATTCGATGCTGATGACGAGCCTTTCTTGGTTGCTCGGGCTCGTCCACGGCGGCTCCCGATTAGCTGATTATTCTTCTCAGCTTTCTTGATGGTCAACGAGCTGGGATTATTTCCACTATCGCTGCTGTTGTTGTTGTTGTTGCAAGATTTCAGCAAAGCCTCTTGCTTGGATTCCTTCTCCTCCTCTTCGCATTGGCTCTTAGAACCAAATTGCTTGGCTATTTTCATTTCATCGTTATCATCATTATCGTCAACAACCATGCCTTCCACTTTCATAATCGCTTTCTCTTCACTCTCCATCATCGAAGCTACGCTGCGTTTCGAGTAATAACGCAACTTTTTTCAACAGCCGCAGAAAAACACAAACTGGGTTTTCAATAACTCCCAACCCATCAACAAATTTTTGGATAATTATTCGACTATTTTAAAAACGAATGATAAAAACCCTAATACAATACCACGACGCCAATTGATAAAAAACAATCGAATCGAAGAATATGAAGTAGATTACCTCTCAACAGCACCAATAGAATCGCCTAAGCTACCATTTCCATTAAAGCTATCTTCAGCTCCGAACTGGGTTTTTAGAAAAAGAAAACAATAAACGAAGCTAGCAAACAAATAAAAACCCGAATAGAAAATACTACACAGAGATGACGAACACCCATTAACCTAAATCGACTATTTGGAGGAAAATACACGAAAAGAAGGAGAGAATTTAGGGTTTTGTTGAAACCCTAAAATGGGAAAAACCCTAAAAGACAGGAGGGATGTAGATAAAATGGAGGCAAGGGTGAAGGAGGAGTAAGTAGATCTGCCATAAGAAACAAATCAATTCATTTTAAAGAGCAAGAAAATAGAGAAAGCAAAGAGTTGTTACCTGGTGATGAAGAGATGATGGGTATGGTTCTTGAGGAAAAGGAATCACATCCCATGGCGACTGGTTCAGCTGGCACACGTACGCACTCTTAGGCCTTGAACCTTGTGGGTGTATCAGCGATGATAGCTTTGCGGTTTTTCGAATCCTCATATTTTGTTGGTATCAAATAATAATAACCAAAGAAAATATGGAAGAAATAGCAAATTATAGGAGGAGGAGGAGGAGGAGGATGAGACCAACAGATAAAAAGAAAACGAAACTGAAAGCCAAGAAAAGGAAGGAAAAATATTAGATCCAAAAAGCTGTGTTTATGGTTGTCTATCTTTTTTTTCTTTGTCTCTCAGAAAGGGAGAGAGAGAGAGAGGGGGGGCCTTGGTGTGGTGGTGATATGGTGTTTTTTTGCAGATCTCACAGAACTCGATAATCAGGGTTTTCTTAACTTTCTGTGGCTTTCTCGGCCCTTCATATGTTTCGATTTGTTTTCTCATTGACCATTTTATCCTTAGGTTTTTTATTTATTTTCGGAAATGGCTTCGGGAGGAAAGAAAGTTGTCGCTATTACACGTAATGATAGTTGTCCAAAGCTATTTTTCTAATATATCGGGGTCGTTAATGATCTTATACGGTTGTCCCCACGTTTAGCTCCAGTGGGGTCTCTTTTCATTTTCCCTATTAATATTTGCCCTCTTTGCTTTTTTTGAGATTTTCCAATTTTATAAGGCTATAATCAAAGAGAACGTTACTGTCTTGGAAATTACACGTGAAGAGTGCAGTAAGGGATTAAGAGCTTGCCTTACCTGATCATTACCCAACAAAGTCAGGCTTCAGGGGGTGTTTTGGTCAATTGTCATAATTTTTTAAAAATGATTAAAGGGATGAAATAACATCTTTCACTCCCATGACAGAAGGAATGGACGAAACGGGGAGTGTGGTTAGGGAGGATAGGGGAAGGAGAGTGAAGCAAACGAGCTGCAACCAGCGAGTGGGTGAGAGAAAGTGGCAAACAATTCTGGCCCACAGAAAAAAATGGATTTGATCAGTTGACTTGGGAGTGTCGCAGTTGAGATCAGAGGGCTGTGATGAAGGATGATGGAAAGAGGTGAATCTCTCCCCAAAGAGTGAAAAGCACAGAATGTGATACGTAGAGATTATTATTTACCAGCAATAGCGTATTTTCAAGAGAATAAAGTTAAGTTGTGTTAATTACTTGATTAATTACGATTAATAAAATAAGGAATTTGTTAAGATTAAATTAATGTCATTTTAATTTTATGCATTTTTATAATTAAAAAAATTTTCTGATAATATCCATTAAAAATAAAACAAATTAAATGATCTATCAAAGTTGTGTGATGTAAAAATATATGATAAAATAGCGTTTCGTCTTGAAGTAATTGGACAAGATGTATGTATGCAAAATTTCTTCTAATTTTTTATTATTTAATTATTCACAAATGAGATGAAATAATACTAAATAATAATGTTATAAATAATTATTCACCAATCTAACATTTATCTTGAAATTATGTCTACTGATTGATGCAATGTTTGAAGTGGACCAACCATTACAAGGGTGACACAAAGGCCAGTGGAATCCAAATAGTCAAAACATAATGAAATATAATATTTCTAAGAATTATGATACCAAATTGGGGTAATTGTGTTTTCTCAAATAATTTATTATTAAATTAATCGTAAAAAGCACCAATATCATGGATGCCTCTTATAGTCTATATTTTTTCTAACTGTTGGCTACTTAGTCTTTAGATTTATTGTGGAAGAAAAGCAGGTTAGGGGAGATAAAAAAAAAAAAACTCACCCAATTGACTCATTGTTACTTGCACTTTCCGAGTAATTAAACTCAAATTTTCTTTAAATTTCAAATACTATAATTTATTTCTTATGAAAATTAAATTGCATACCCAATTTTTTTATTTGAAAGAAAAAATATAGATTTTATTTTTTAAACATAAAATCATGCAACAATCAACTAAGGGCCATTTTGAATTTCATTGGAAATCCAATGAAGTGAGATCCAATTTCTTGCATTTGGGTAACACCTCGTGGTGTGATTGGTCCCAATTATCCTCAAATCATTGATTGAAAAAAAAAATTAAATTTTTAGTCAATTGATTTTATTGTAAAAACAAAAAATCTAACTATTATTATTTTATTTACATTCAATTATATATTTTCACCGTTAAATTTTTTTATCATAATTTTAAAATTAATCTCATCGTAGATATACAATCCTAGCAATAAAATCGAATATGGCCTACTTCAAAGAGAAATTGACCTAACAAATACTTTATAAATCCGGTTAGAGTAAATTGTTGAAGAGATTATATCTCCAAAACAAGGGATATTGGTTTTTTTCTTGATGCTGGCTAGCAGTGGCATCATCAGGGACCTCAAGTCCCCACTCCCCCACCCACAGTTGAACACATGCATCAAAACAATTCGACAAAGAAAAAGGGAAAACAATGTAGAGGGTAAGAAAGAGAAAATACTTAGAAACAGAAGCAGAAACAGGGTTGCTACATTTACATGGCAATCTATAAAAAATAAAACACCAATATTGATGTGGGGTATATCAGCTAGGGTTGCAAGTACCAGATTTTGGTAAAAAGGTACTAGAATTATTGATCACACAGCATCTCTTACTTTCCCCCTCCCCACTTTTCCAAAAATCTTTTTTTTTTCTCATTACAATTTAATTATAGGGTTTTCTTTCTCTGGGTCATTTTAATTAGATCCACTGTCAGTGAATTTGGGGTTAACTTCACAGTGACATGAATATACACAGCTGAAAGAAATAGGCCGCAATTAAAAAGCCTTTCTCCTTAAAGCATTTTCTGTTTTGTGTGGCATGGCATTATGGCCATTACTTAATTTGCAATATAAATTAATTGAATATAAAAGGAAAAAGCAATCATTGTTTTTTTTTTTTATTATTATTATTAAAAATATTCAATCTGTGATATGTTCTTAAAATATTGAAATTTTAATTTGATCATTTGATTGGCAATTTAAATAAAAAAAAAAAGGATTCTAATCTCTGAAGCCTTATCCGCAGCTGCAATGGCTAGTATCTATAGTGCAATAATCAATCGACGATACAAACAGGCTGCAAGAGATAAAAAAAAAAAAAAAAAAAAAAAACTAGAAAACCAAGTAAAATATATATCGTTTCAGACTTGGGTGCTTAGTTGGCTACTCCATGTTTGAACTAAGTAAGAAAATACTCACGTTTGGTTGCGGAGAAACCCAAAACAGCAAGGAAAACTTGAATATATATCTTTTTATTTTCCTGACAAATTGTTCAAGAAAAACTTGAATAAATTACAGAGAAACCCAGAGAAGTATTTGGCTTTCTTGTGATTTTCAGCCGATTTGACAAAGCAAACGCCGACATATCCAACATCATTTGGAACTCTGAGTTTGAGAAACAGAGTAGAAAAACAAGATGAAACTCCGGCAGATTAGAGCAAACCAAAAAACTTGAATATTTCAAACAAGACAGTACTGATACAAAACAACCGAGAAATTAAACGACCAGCTTACTTGAGTCATTAAACTCTGTCATCTGAAGAAACCCTAAATATTTATCCCCCGAGAAAATCTATGGACACAAATCATTTAAACAGATACTCTTGCAAAATCTGGTCCAGATTGGAAAACTTGAATAAGTACAATCTCCAGAGACTTTGAGCTTTGAGTTAGGGTTCATAAGCCGAAATTAAGACTGTCGGATCCGTAACCCTAAAGGCCTAAACCTAATAACCAAGTGCGCAACAGTCAGATACCACCAAGCAGGAAAAAGAAAAGGAAAAGAAGACAGACAAAGTTCGATTATGATCAGCTTCAATTCAGACAAGAAAAAAAAAAGGAAATAAATAAAACAGAAACTTGAAATACAGAGTTAGTGTTGAAAATGGATATGTTGAGGCTGTTTCGGAGAGAAATTAAGAAAATGAAGGAAGAAACATGAAGCATTTATCACCTGCTTCATTGCTTTATTCTCCTTCAAACAGCAAATCAAATTTCCAAGTTAATTAATTAATTATAGATATATTGTACTTGACTTACTGCTTGTACTTCTGTAACTTTTCAATGGCCAAACCGATGATCCGACGGATTATAGGAGTCAACAACAATGGAGAGGAATACGACGTCGTTGTTTCCAGGTATCCGTACATATTCAGCCTTTATCCCACTTGATTCCTACTTCTTAGACATTTGGCAACAAGATGGGGTCCCACTTAAACACCATATATATTTTTTTAATGGAAATAAATACTTTAATAAGCAGCACTCATTATGCAATTTTATAGCGAGCCAAAAGATTAAAAAAAAGGGGTGCTTATCTGCTGGACATAGCTTTGAAATAGAGGATGAGATCATAATGTGCCAATTACTTGTTTAGTATTATAAAATTGAGTAACCCGAATTGCCCAATGGTACCTTAGTTAGAAGTGGTAATTTGATCAGATCTGTGAATCCAAAAGGACTGTTGATCGAGAGGTTTAGATTAGTTTTATGTAAACTTGACAATTTTATAATACACTACATGATGATTAAAATAGTAGCCAAATTCGTATAAAATTTTAATAAAAATAAAAAGTATGTTATATTGAACATCAACAAAAATTATGATAATAATTTTTATATTTTATACACATTAAATATGATATAAACAAATATAAATATATAATTTATTAAATCTAATTTTAAAATTTGGATAAATAAATCAACTGAATTGAACACTCTGACTTTTAATCATTTTAGCTTCAAGACATTTTGAATAAAAAAAAAAATGAAGATCAATTCATAAGTAACAGGTTTTATTTTGATTAATGTTTTTTCAGCTTAAATGGTTTAAAGATTCAACTTCCAAGTCTCAAGTGCTTATTAAATAGGAAAATTATCGGTGTTTTATGATTTTGATAGGAAAATTAAAGCACCTGACAGTGACGGCGCTATCGGTGAAAACCCAAGTTGCTTAGCAATTTCCAGATATCTGTATGGCTTTGCTGCAAAGTGGAGCAGCACCTCAGCATCTTTGTCCAATATGTGATCCTTTCGTATTATTTTTCTTTGTTATTATTCTCTAGTAATAAAAGAACAAAAGATCCTTAATTGGTATCCATGATTGCTACAACAACATTGATTAGTCAGTTACAATACATACATATAAAAATCTCGAGTCCCACAGGTCATCTCTATATCAGTAAAAGGGGCGAGTTGACTCAAAATCCATACGAACTCGCACACCAGAATGCAAGAGCAAAATCGTGGGTACTTGATGTGTAGAAAGATTTGTCTCATTTCAACACACTGCAGCAGAGATTAGTGGATTAAGTTCAGCACTTAGAGCAGGTTGAGTTGGAAAATGCAGTAAAAGACATTGTAGCCGATCTCAAATAGTTTGCAATGATTTTAATTGAGTTTACTGTTGCTGTATATGAGAAGCAACTAAGCAAATATATTAGCAACCATATAAACGATGATGTTTCATTTCCGTACATGCTCAAAGCTGATGTGCAACAATTTTCAGAATGCAAAACAGAAATACACAAATACTCAATGTTTTATGGTATATGATTCAAGTAAATTTAGGAAACTTACTTGTATAAATACGCGGCGATTCCAACAATTATACATAAGAGGATAATATCAATACAGAAGTTGCGACTTGACCTCAACTGAAAAAATCAAAATACACGTAGTGGAAATTAGGGAACATATATGGCATCCAAAATCAAAATATGAAAGACAATCTAATTTACCTGGTTAACAGTATCCTTAAGTCTCGCATTTGTGCTTTTCAGATCAGAGGCTGCCCTATCTACCTGGAAGATGTCAAAACAGTGTCAATAATGAACTCCTAATCTGTAGAAACTTTCAGATGAAAAAAGAGATTGTTCCATCGTTATTTTTTTACCTCACACAAACCAAACATCAATAACTAGTTACAAATTTCCGGATTAAAAAAAAAAGACAATGCAACTCACTGCCAGAAAGTGTTTTTCATATGTAAATTGCCAGGCTACTAGCAAGTGATATCACTGCTTGACATTCCAAGTGTAGTACGCAAGTAGAGTGTTAAACTCTTACTTCCACTAATAAGGTTCAATCACCGGCAGCATAAAAAATAAAAAAGATATCATTACCTGACTTTATTGGTCCCTGCTCTCTCTCTCTAAGATTATAGAGTTAGCAATTAAAAGGCATCAGATATAACTTTAATTTTCCAGAATACCATCAGCTAACTATCAGATAAATTGTCCATGTCCATCACTAGTAAAGAAGGATAACCAGAGGCAGATAACTCTACTTGCGTAGGATCACCTTCTCATCTATTTCATCCATCATTGGCACTTGTCTGTCAAATTCCTGCCACAAGGAAGAATAAGTATTTTTAAAACAAGAATAATCAAAACAACTAACATAATATATGGTTGTTTAATATGATTTATACCACAAGTAAATAGACAATATCACACAAACTAACCTCATTCATATCATGAGCCATGTTTTTCAAGGTATCCAAACCTTCAGCTATAACCTCCAAACCTTGATCCTGAATAAAAAAGAATATTGATCTTAAATATAACAATTTAAGTTCAGGAAGATGAATTAACATAATCCCCCAAACATCACCACGATTTGCATTACAAATAATGACAGAACAGCGAGACAGTGTATTGGAATAGCAACCAAAGCAAAGCTGAAAATCTCACAGCAATAATAAGGCAAAAAACAACAAGAAGAAAGTAATTACTACCTGTTTCATTCTGCGCATTTCATACTCTTGCCTGAAGCGGTCAGACTCTTCAGTTTGTTGAAAGTACTCACTTTCAAAACCACCATCTGATTCCATCGAATTAACCAAATTAAAACGTTTGATCATTGATAGGTCTCTTGATATAACAATAATCCAATAAATAAATGATTATTACCTGAAGATGAGTCAATTTTAATTGCAGGATAAGAAGTTGAAGTCGCCCAACCACCAGTTCTTTGCTTAGCTGCAGTTGTTGATCCATCTGGTATTGCTTCAATCCTATCTTTCAGTGAAGAAACCAAATCGTTTCGAGCCTCAAGCTCTTCTCTTGAAAGCCCCTTTACCTATACCCCCAAAGATTAATACTACCAGTTAACAAATAGCAATTTTGAGAACTAATCAAGCTAAAAAACAAATTCTTTTAAATAAATAGAGAAAAAAATTTTAAAAAGAAAGACCTTTTTGAGAGCGAGTCGTTGTAATTTGGGGAGTTCTTCAAGCAATCGAGCTTTTGTTCTCCGAATTTCCGCATTCATTGCAACCGCCGTAGCCCTGTTCTTTTCCGTAGCAGCAGCTTCCGATTTCTACGGGGTTTTTTTTTATTTGAAAAAACAAAATTGGAAAATTTTTGTTTAACAGTGAGAAAACAAAAAGGAAGAAACTTTAACATTATATCAAAAACCCTACAAAAGGGAGAGGAAGAAGAGTTAAACCTGGAGAACAGCATCGAGTTCAGACTCAACGACGCCATAAAGGTGAGCGAAAGCGTCATCGCCGGTGACGTTAGCCTCTTTTTGCTTATCGATGTCGTACTTTTCGTATTTCTTGCAAATCGCGTCGACCCTCGTGATCAAGTCTATCACCGTCATCTCCTTCTTTCTCTAAAAACTACGCCGTTTCTTGCTTTCTCTGGAAGTTCCTTTTACTTTCCCCGCAGAGATTCTGTTTCTTCGATTTTTGTTTCTGGAACATTGAACACTAACTAGGTCGGAGACAGTGAGAGTCAAAAGAAAATGGAAGAGGGAAACGAATGTTTCCGTTGGAATGTTGCCAGCTGGAATTTAATCGGGTCTTACGGTTCATGAAATGAACTCAGTTGCAGAAGATTCCATCTCCGTCACCCAGGAGCAGACCGGCACGCAAAGTTAAAGTTCCAAGCGTTACATGTTCGGTTAAAATATTAAAATTTCCACTTTCACATTAATTCAGATTTATTTTCTTTCTCTTTACAAAAATAAATATAATCCCCTTAAATTTCCGTTAGTGTTTCATTTGAAACTTAACTCAAATACTCACGTGTAAGAGTATATTCAATTGAACTTGAGTTGATATAGTATTAAATTTAAATATAATTTTAAAATTAAGATTCAAATCTTAATTTGAATTTGATTAAATTTTATATTTTTAGTTCGAACTTAACTCGAGATAAAATTTAAATTACTTGAATTCATTCGATTATGCTAGCTTAATATATAAAAATAAGCTCAATTTTATATTCGATAAAAGTTTGATTATATGTACTCGAGTTTGATTTGAATTTGAGATATTTTATCAATTAAAATAATTAAAATATATTAAAATATAAAAAATTAATTAAACTTGCGAGTAATTTGAATGGAGTATAAGAATACTCGAATTTAATTCGATCAATAAATTAAGTTATTTAAATTCGAATTTGACCCAATAATAATCGAATCAAATTTAAATTTTATTCAAATTAAATCTGAATAATTTATGTGTGCTAATGTCTCATTTACACTTTTATTCATATAAATTATTTTTTCATAATTATTTTTATTAAAATATTTAACATTAATCTATATCATTTATAAAATATAATATTTAATAAATTTAAAATTTAAAACTTATTTTTTTTCAAATTATGATTTATAATAAATAGAAGTAAATATGATAATAAAAGTGAAGGGATGTCACAAGAATTTATTTTTTCTTTCTTTAAAGATTAGGGCTTTTGAATAAAGCAAGAAAAAGGAAAAAATAGTTTGAAAGCAAAGGCAACCCATTAAAATAGGGTTAAGAATTAAGATCTCATCAAATTGTTTTCTAATAAAATAAGGTTGGTTAGCTAGCAAAATAAAATTCCAAAAAAAATCTAATCTCTGTTTGGTTTGAGTATTTAGTTCCATCTTAAATTTGCATTCTCCTTAGTTAAATGCTCCCGGCTTTCCACAACGAAGAGAAATCACCAAACAGTTCCTTTGAACCAGGTGGGGCGCTTTCTACACATTCGTATTGCTCGAGCGTGGCCTTGTTTTCTATCTCCTTTGCTTAAATTGACTCTCACTACGACAGCACTCACTATTACAATATATAGCCATTAAAAGAACAATGTCCACTGAATTAAGGACTTGCAAAACAGTCTCCAAATAGAGTTTTTAATGCCTTTTAATCACCACTAAACCAAAAAGCTTATGCTTTTAACTCCTTTATTTATAAATGACCTCTTTTATCACTATTATTTTTTTTGGTTCCCTCTAAGAATCACCCAAAAAATGGCAGAAAATTCGATTCTTAGCTCGGTTTCTAGCTTGATTCTAAGTCTTTTCACTCTCTTTTCTTGTTTGTTTGGGCACTGTGATTCAGTTGAGGAACTTGGTGGATACGACACTTTCACTATATCAAGCTTCAAATACCCAGAAACCCAGATCAGACCTTTTGATATGCGTTATATAAGAGGTAACGTAAAACTAATTTTATGCTCTTTTTGATTATTCATTTGTCATTTTGGGTCAATTACTGTGTTTTTTCTTAATGATTTAATGATGGACTACTCTGATTAATGGGTAGTTGTCAAAATTTTAACTTTACTAACAAATGGGTGAAATAGTTTCATGTGATTGGATTGTTTTTTCTGTTTGGTGCAGGTATTTTCTAGTTCTATTAATTTCAATTTAAACTTTCTATGTTTTTTTAATCTTAATTGTCTATTTCAATGATGAAAGCAAGATATTAAAATTTTTCCTAGTCAATTTGATTGTTGGTTTAACTTTTTTCCTTTCAACTCTAGTATTACATCATATGTACTTGTAAAACTGTTTCAGCGGACTAAGTTAAATTAGTTATAGAGACATGGTTTAGAACTATCGAGTTTGAAGATGTTTCTTTCAGTCTTGATGATTATTAGATTGCTTCCCTTTCATGGAAAGCTACTTCAGTGCTGTTCTTCAGGAAGTGTCATTTCCACCAACTTGTATGCAAGAGAGAAGAAAATATTAAATATTTCGTGCTAATTTTGGTCAAGAATGTTGTTAATTGGAAAATTGAACTGTTCAAAAAACATGGTGATGAAATAGATTGTATTACTGTTTGAATTATTTTGCTATGTAATGTCTCACTGGGTTTACAATTTTCCTTGTCTCAGTTGATTTACCACCATGGTTCTCTTCAATGTCAATAGCATTGAAGTCAAGTGTCGACCTTGTAAGTATGCTTGACCAAGTTAATTAGGGTTTTAGGTTTATCGGCTTTTGAATCATGCTGGTTGTTGAATTTCTTTTGTTTGTTCTTACTACATTTCTACTCTTTTATTGACGCAAATCATTAAAAAATTTTCTACACTTGTGTAATCACTGATTTCTGGAGTTCAAACATTTGGTAGTTTTCCTAATCACTCTTGCTTATCTGTTTTGCTCATGCTTCAAACTGCTTGCAGGATATGAAAAGCATTGAAAAAGTTCCTAAAAGTGTGCTGCCGATGATATGCTTCAGAGATGGCAGCCTTCCATTGCCAGATGCCTCAAACACATCATTAAAATGTATCCCACAAACAAACATAAAATATTATTTTCTTCTTTCAATTATTGACTTAATGAACCCAAATGAATCTAGCAGTTTTAAGAGATTTTATCTTGTTGCAGCACTAGTTTCTCTAGCTAGTGGATCTTTTGAAGGAATACAATTACTTCAAAATACAGAGCAGTGCTATCCTGTACCAAGAAATCTTACAATGAAGTTGACGAATGAGCAGGTTTGCTATTATATTTTATGTGGAAGAAATGTCTTTCCTTGTGTTCTTAAAAATTCCAGATTCTTGTTTAATTTGTTTAACTGAATTCTTAGGAAACTATTGCACCACATCATTCATTTGGCATATTTTAACCCAAAATTATGGGTGTGAGGTGGGTGGGGTAAAATGTTTAGTTTGGTAGACGGATTACTCCACAACTTCCTTATATTTTCTTTTATATGGTTTTTAGAAATTCAATTGTTGTCAATGTAACTTAAAAATCTGTGGTTCAGATATCTGCAAGGGTTTTGTATTTTGGTCTTTTCAACGGTGTTGGGCCTACAAGAACACAGTCGAAGATGGTAAGATTACTAGCTCCATTATTTTGCACCTATTCACCACTTGCTCCATTTTGTGTAGTGCTTCTATGCAGTTCTCTCCCATTTCATGTTGTTAAGCATTTTACTGGTTGATCATATACAACTGTGTTGTGTAATTCACTTCAGAGGAAAATAACTGGGTTTCCTCTACACCTGGAATCCTTTGCCCAAAAGGCAAATAAAGATGCTTGTAAACCTCTAAAGAACCATATATAAAACTATGTTTGATGGATGGATATTCTAATGGTAAGATCTGCTTGACAAAAACTTGTTAGTTGGTTATTATAAGGAAATATCCAGACTGGTTTGTGATGCCATATAACAAGTTTTCTTAGCAAAAAGAATACTTTGCTTGCATTTAAGCCGGTGGAAATCTGCTGTAGGAAACCCTCGAATTCTTGTTTGAAGAATGTTTGCTTTTGCTCCTATTCATCTCATTCTTGTTAAGTTTTCTTGTTCTTCCATGTCAGCATATCCTCTTTCAGTAAAGGTTTTGGTACATTTGTTCCAGACATTCAACTAGAAATTGAATTTAAAGCTACTGCTCTGGATTGCAGATTGTTCGAGGCCCCGCTTACTCCTTTGCAGCCAATATTAGCGTGGAAGGATGTATAACCTCAACGATGCAGGGACAGTATTGCAACCAAACTGTTGAACTGCTTTCATGTGGTCTATCTGGCAATAGTTCTGGAAATAGTTCAGTATCTGGGTTCTTCAATCAAAGCATGGTTTCTTGCAGGAACAATTTTGAGACCTCATGCCATGGAGATGGAGAAATGAAAATATACTCCTTAGAGATACTACGAATAGCTGAATTCTTAACCATTTCAGCAGAAAATGTAAGGTTAAGACCTCTGAATATCACTGGGAATAGTAGTGGAATTGACTTAATATGCTTTGCTCGTTATGGTGCTATGCCTTCAGCTACTTTACATGATTATTCTGGGAACTTAAATAAATCCCCTTTGGTTATTTACTCCCCAAAGGTTGGTCGCTGGTATATTTCTATTCTAGCCTTTAATCTTTCAAAGGAAATTGGTGGGTCCCAAAGTAATGTTTCAAAAGTTTGCTATTCCCTGGAACTGCAAGAGCTTGAATGTCCTTTGGGGAAGGCTGGGCCAAACTGTTCATCCGAAAGATACATGCTTCAGGTGAGCGTTGTCAACAAATATGTTATATGTATTCTCTGTATTCACTTCTTTATAAATTTCATTGATTCATTTTATTTTGCATTATGCTTGGTGTTTTTAATGTTTTAGTTTTATATTTTGATGCTATTATGAAATTATCTGCCTATGTGAAATTCAATATATTAAGTACACATTCAAATTTGTGAGGATAAAGTAGAAATCAAGTTTAGAAAAGAAAAAGAGATAAATGATTTACTTGCTTGTTGGTGGTGACAAAGAAACAGACACAAAATTAAGGATGAGAAGATGACTGTATGAATTTCATTTGCGGGTGACTGGACACCATATCTTGACAATCTTATCCAAAGGACTGAGAGGGTGAAATTTTACCAACTGATTCTCAGCCTTAAATACTGAGGATTATTAAAAGATGTAATCATTTTGAAGCATAGAGGGGCCAAATTTTGGTTTGGAAATTTTACCTTCTAAGTGTTCACTTAGACATCGAGTGATGGGATGCAACCATAGATTTCTGATTTCCATTTTAGTTTTATTATTTTTGTTAATTAGATTAATGAACAGTTTTTTTCCTGCATTATCTTTTCTTTCTGTTGATGCTTAAAGAAACTCATTCGCAGGAGTAAGTTATTGACAAGCTGAGAATGGTTGTCTGCAGACGGTTCTCAGGAAAGATTCCACCCCTTTTGAATCCTATTATTTGCCATATGGTGAGAAAGTGAGGTCAGATGCTGCCAATTTTCTTCTTGAGCCCCTTTTAAGCAACTACTCATTTGGAGGAGGACTGGATACCTGGACTTATTTTCTTCTGGACGTTCCTCGTGGTGCAGCTGGCGGAAATCTCCATGTGCGGCTGATGTCAGATAGAAAGATAAATTATGAAATATATGCTAGAAATGGTGGATTGCCATCACTTGTTAACTGGGACTATTATTATGTAAACAAGACAAGCAGCAGTCATGGCTCCATGTTTTTTGTATTGTACAATTCAAGTGAAGAAAAGGTCGACTTTTACGTCTTATATGTTAGGGAAGGAATCTGGAATATTGCATTAAGGCATCTAAACAACACTGCTGGCACTTCCAATGGCCAGACTACAATGTCTATTTCACTTGAAAGATGTCCAAAAAGGTGCTCCTATCATGGTGATTGCCGATCTGCTCTTGATGCAAGTGGATTAACATCATACAGGTATTATATTTTTCGGCCATCTACATCTTTTTTATATTATTTTTATCTAATTTATTTTTACAAATATTTTGATAGCTAGATCTAATTGCATGTAATTCCTTGTTTAATGATGGGATGAATGTCTAAAGTGCATTTCTCGTTTCCTTGTAACTGTATTATTTTCTGTTTCTCAGCTTTTGCGCCTGTGATCGGAACCATGGAGGTTTTGACTGTAGCATTGAGATTGTATCACATCAAGGTAAATGCTTTTTAGGAGTTGAATGCAAAAATATGGCTGCCATCCCTGCCACTTCTTTTCATCAACATTGTTGTTCATGGTTCCAAAGTAGCTATTTATTCTTTCTTTCCAGGCTGTGACTAGTTCAGAAAAATATTTAGTAATGCAGGGTTTTTTCTTTTTACCCTTTTTTTTTGGGGGGGGGGGGGGGGGGATTGGTGGTGCAGAAGAGGGGATGGATTGGCAAGTCTGTAATCATTGGCTTAGTCTATGACGAACCTAAGTTTATGATCAGGAGCCATAGCCTTCAAGTTGAGGTCTCTAATAGGTACTCCAATCCCTGAGTCAAGAATGTCAAAAAATTGCTTACACTTTTAGACGGGTCTTGCACTCTTTTGCTTAAGAAGAGGTTTGTTTGTATTGGAAATGAATTCCAGGACTTGGTATTATGTAATGCTATAAATTCAAATTTAGCCAATCCTGTACTTGGAAACTGATGCAGGACACATATGGCAATCAATTGCTCTAATCGCATCAAATGGCGTAGCTGTGCTTCCTGCTTTTTGGGCTCTCCGGCAGAAGGTAAAGCTCCATTTATTCATGGGCTCACTTGCAGATGATTCAGATTTCTTATGAAAATAGTGCTAACCTTTTGTGATGAAACATTAGAGGTTTCTCAAAATTTCAAACCATGTCATGGCATGCCTAACAATTAATTGAAAGGGTTATTACTATTCCAAAAAATTCTGACATGGTCAAGTATTTTGAAGATATTTGTGATATCTACCAACTTTTGAGTGGTGAAGGAACATTAAGCATTGGAATTGAGCTATGCTAATTATCCAACATGAACTTTATAACTCATTCTTTGAGATCCGTATTTAGTCCAAAACTTAGTTGTTTATATGCAGGCATTTGCAGAATGGGTGATCTACACAGCGAGTGGAATTTCAAGTGGATTATATCATGCATGTGATGTGGGCACCTGGTGTGCATTATCATTTGGTGTCTTACAGGTATATGTTGGTATAATTCTTTTTCCTATGAAGGATGACATTATTCATCATGACAAACTTGGAAAAAGCATAGTGGAAGTACATTATAAAAAAATGAATTGAACTTAAATAAGCATGCAGCACCTCCATTTGCGTTTCATTGTTGTTAAAGTGCTCTATCATATTTTCGGTTACTAGTTTGAACTAATATTGAATAGTATATTGGGAAATGTTTCAGTTTATGGACTTTTGGCTCTCTTTCATGGCTGTAGTGAGCACTTTTGTATACCTCACTACAATTGCTGAAGTTTATAAAAGGACAATCCACACGGTTGTGGTTATCCTTACTGCCCTGATGGCCAAAACTAAGGCAACCAGGTATAAGGATCTGGTAGCATTTGTGTTCATTTGAATTTATGACCCTGTTCTAACAGATATGGAAGGTGTTTGACCAAGCTAAGTTGTGCAGGTCATCCAACATTATTCTTGTGATGGCAATTGGGGCACTAGGTCTTCTTGTTGGGTTGTTGATAGAGTTCTCTACCAAGTATAGGTCACTTTCCTTTTCAATGAATTTATGTTTAAATGGGCTTGAGAGGTGAGATTCTCTTCTGTACCATCATGAAACACCATGCATAATTTTTTTTTTGGGCTCCTAATGCAAATAAAATGCATACTCAGGATTTTATACGTTAGCACACAAACTGCCTTTAGTTATTAGTAAATAGTACCATGAAAGTTAAATCTTTTGTTTCTTTTCATTTTTGAATTATTGTGCTGGTCAAGGGACATCATTGGCATTATTGTGACTTAGCATCTAACATTTAAGTTCATGATTTCACCTGAAAGCTAATATTCTAAGATACACAAGAAACCATGCTTTGTCATTTGATAATGCATTGGTATTTACTGGATGAACTATTTAACTTTCTCTTCCAAGAAAGAAGCACAGCCTGGTTGATAGATGGACTAACAATACCCGAAGATAATGCTTTAGAATTTACTGGATGAACTATTAAACATTCTCTTCCAAGAAAGCTGAGTATGTATTTTACCTGTAGATGGCGGATCAGAGAATGGCTGCAGAATCTTTTAAAGACAATATTGAAACGATTTCGTTGGGGTTTTGTGCTTGCTGGTTTTACTGCACTGGCCATGGCAGCAATAAGCCGGAAACTGGAAAACAGTCAAAACTACTGGATTTGGCACAGGTTAGATTTCTCACTCCTTTTTGGTGTATAAAATTGTTTTGATCTACCTTCTCTCTCATGTTTGATTGTAAAATTTTCATGCAGTATTTGGCATGTCACCATATATTTATCTTCTTTCTTCTTCCTCTGTTCAAAAGTAATTACCATAAATAGTGGTGACGAAACACCCATGGATGGAAACTATCAGTTAACTCGGCAAGATTCTCTCTCAAGAGGTGCATAGGAAAGTTCAAATAAGGAAATAAGCTGTTGTCAAGACGTGCATTAAAAAAATTTCATCTGCCAGAGTGGTTCCTACAACCAAAACAAGACTTGACCACTTCAATAGCTTTTTTGTAAAATTTGCTCGTTTATCACCTTTTCCAGGAGTATGTTTTCTTTTTGTGAATATGTATATACACCAATAGGTGGTAGGAAAAGAACTGAGGCAGGATAAAAATCAGGATAGAAATGTGACTCAAAACCTTTTAGTCTTCAGGGGTATTAGAGCAGAAATTGAGGATAAAGGTGCAGGTGTTTCCATCATGTAACTGTAAAAAATAATTTATAAATATGATAATTTAAGTACTTTAGATTTTATAATCTTGCGAGCTTGTTTGCAGCATGAATATGTGATTATTACAACATTTCTCGAGTACTAAACATATTCCAGTCAAAATGTAGGCAAAAAAAAAAAAATTTATGAAAGCGTTATTGAGCAAACAGGTGTCCTACCCAGTTCACAACAAACCTTTTTGATCATGGTGGGAAAAGAGGGGATACATCAATGGAAACGAATTAAAAGCAAGGAATGATTAATTGGAACGTATACCGGTTCATATAAATTTTTAGATCAAATAATTTCTGTATGTCTAATATGTTCTTGTACCAGTGTTAGTTTGTTCTTGGTTCACAGCTTGAGATAATGTATGATCCAAGACCTGTGCAACCTGTTTCTTGTCTTTTAGACAATACAGATTGACTTTGTTTTTTAAAACTACTTTTATCGCCCTTTTCATTCTGCTTCATTACGTTCCATCTCTTTGAATCTTGACGCAACTCTTTGATTTTGCATAAACAATGGAATTTGGAGGTGGGTTTAAAACTTAACTTTAATATGAAAAAAAAAAAAAGTCCATGCCTAAGTTTGGCAGTATCAGACCATTTTTTCAAACCACCAGGAAAACTAATGGCTCCATCAAAAGTAAAAGCAGCTAGGTCTCTCCCCATTGTTAAATTTTCAACTTGCAAACCATTTTCATAACTGTGTTTTCTATCCCATGAAAATGACAGCATTTAATCTGTGGCTTGAACTGATGTATGTTTATTCTTTGATTATCTCCAGAAAACAACTCGATTTGAAATTCAAAACCTCACCTTCGATTCATACAGCTTCAACATTGAAAAAATTATCCTACTAGTACCAACAACGACCAGCAAGGAGCATTGGTGGGGCAGTAAAAAGTGGGATCCAAAGCATTCACAACTTTCTAAATTTTATAAAGTCTCATCGTTTAAGGAAAAGGAAATTACATAGTTACAATCAATTCAAGAAGAATGCTTCAATTTTCATGCTAATTAATTGTATATTAAACCAGAATTATTACTAATCTTTTCCAAGTATTACATATTTGTGGCCTACACATGGACTGCTTTATGTATTGGGAAGCAGTGGTGGAGTGGATTAAATTTAAAACAGAAGAGAAAAGTCAAATTATACCAAAAGAAACCAAAAAGGTCAAAAGAGTACTGCAGTATTCAATTTATAAAATTTTAGGCCAATCTGATTGCAACACATTCTCTCAGGTTTGTGGTCCTTTGCTTTCCTTTCATCCTCATGCAAGAACTGTAGAGCTCCTCTTTTCTGTTCTTTTTTCACAAATTTTAGTAAAAGACAATATAATAAAGTTTAAACAATTAAATTTTGTTTGGTTTTGACAACCCTTGTTGAAAACAGAGGACCCCGTGAGTGGACTTCAGCACATTTGTCTGCCACAAAAATCACTCTCTTCTTAGACTTTTCCATCACCTGCTTTTACAAAAATGGCCTCCTCCTACTTGAATTAATCAATTTTGATGCAGCAGAATGGACAGAGGAATTTGCATGTTAATGGAGTAGTAAGAATTTGGAGAGTACTAATACCGTAATTTCTTGAATAATTCCGAATGGTTGTGTCCGTGAATGGCAGCTTATTCAGATTTCTATAAGAATCCACTCTGTTTCTCTCGCTTTCACTTGAATAGCACTTATGCAGGGCATGCTTCGTTTGCTTCAACAGTTACGCAGATTCCACGTTTCCATGTCACCTAACAAGAAGAAACTCACTTCCCGTCAAACCAATAGTCCAAACCAAACCAAAACCGAAACCAAAAACAAAACACCCTCTCTCCACCAAACTAAAATCTCAAACTCTGATTGAGATGTTTTTCCGTTCTTTCATGTCTTCTCTTGCGTTCTTTCTTTTCCTTCTACTCCTTTCATTTTGCACCCACCATGCAATCTTTGTCACCAAATCTCCACCGAATGAGCCTTTCCTGGAATCCCGCATGGACGGTTCTTCCAAATTCCCCGTTTCGCATAAAGAAACATTCAAAATCCATTCCAAAGCCAGGAAATTGGAGTCCACCAATGTTATCATCAGAGGAAACGCAACCGTTCATAGTTTTAACCGTACCTTCGAGCTCGGTTTCTTTAGCACAAATGGGGAATCCAATTGGTATTTAGGAATCTGGTACTCTTCTGTTCCTACTCAAATCCGCGTTTGGGTTGCCAATCGTGAAAAACCCATCAAAAATATCACCCAATCTTCACTAGAAATCACTGAGACAGGACAGTTAGCGGTAAAGGAGTCGGCATATTCAGTCGTTTGGCAGAGCACAAACACGGAGAAAGCAAAAAAGTTCGATCTTTTAGAGAGTGGAAACCTGGTGCTGTATTCATCAGAAGGTTCAAAAATATGGCAAAGCTTTGATCATCCAACGGATACGTGGCTTCCAGGGATGAACGTCACCGCCCAGCGATCTTTAACCTCCTGGAAGAGCTTGTTTGACCCATCTCCAGGACATTTCTCTTTAAGGCTAAATCCGCAAGAGTTCAACGAGTTTGAGCTAGTTTACAATTCAACCGAAGTGTATTGGTCCACCGGGAACTGGACGGGGACAGCTTTCGCCAATGTGCCACAAATGACAATCCGTTATATTTACAAGTTCCATTTCTCTGACCCTTACTTGCCGACAGCGTCGTTTTGGTACACAGAAAGAGCGCTGGATAACGGATTGGAGCCGCCTTTGACAAGGTTTCAGGTTGATGTCAACGGCCAGCTGAAGCAATTCACGTGGTCGCCGCAGACAGAGTATTGGAACATGTTTTGGTCAGAACCGGAGGATAAGTGCAAAGTTTACGGTTTGTGCGGTTCTTTTGGATCTTGTGTAAGTACAGCTTTAAAACCTTGTGTTTGTCTTAATGGCTTCAGGCCTGTGGATGATGAGGGTTGGAACTCTGGGGATTTTACCAGTGGTTGTAGACGAGAAACTGACGATTTTTGCGAGGATAATGATGGATTTGAGGAGGTAGGTGATGTAGGATTTGATGGAAGGACTACGGTGTCGTTCCAAGCTAGTAGGAGTTCTTGTGAGAAGTCTTGTCTGAGTAAATGTTCTTGTATTGGGTTGTATCATAATGGGAGGACTAATCTGTGTAAGAATGTGTATGGGTCTTTGTTGAATTTGAGAAATTTGAGCTCTGATGGTATGAATGAAAATGTCTTTTATATTAGGGTGCCAAGAGAAGGAATTGGGAAGAAAAATGTGTCTAAAACCATGGTTTTGGTTGGTAGCATTGTTGGGTCTATTGCAGTACTTGCGTTCGTGGGGTTGATTTTGTTGGTTTTGAGAAAGAGAAGAGAGAACAAGAAGGGGAGGGATGAAGATGGTGTTTTCCCAGGGTTGAATCTCAAGGTATTCACTTACAAAGAGCTTAATAGTGTGACTCGAGGGTTTTCAGAGAAACTGGGGCATGGTGGATTTGGTGCGGTCTTTCGAGGTGAGTTATCAGATTCTACTCCTGTTGCTGTTAAACGCCTTGAAAGGCCAGGGAGTGGTGAGAAAGAGTTCCGGGCAGAGGTGTGCACAATTGGCAACATACAACATGTCAATCTTGTGAGACTCAGAGGGTTTTGCTCTGAGAATTCTCATAGATTACTAGTTTATGATTACATGCCCAATGGTCCTCTGAGTGCATACTTACGCCGAGATTGTCCTCATTTGTGCTGGGATGTTAGGGTCCGGGTGGCGGTTGGCACTGCAAGAGGCATAGCATATTTACACGAGGAATGTAGGGACTGCATCATTCATTGTGATATCAAACCCGAAAACATTCTCTTGGATAGTGATTACATGGCAAAGGTATCAGATTTTGGATTAGCAAAGCTTGTTGGCAGGGATTTTAGCAGGGTATTAGCCACAATGAGGGGTACTTGGGGCTATGTTGCCCCAGAATGGATATCTGGTTTGGCAATTACACCAAAAGCCGATGTTTATAGTTATGGGATGACATTGTTGGAATTAATCGGTGGCCGCAGAAATGTGGAGGCATCACAATCTGCAGGAGATGCCAATGCATTTGGTGAGGGAGCAAACGGGGAAAAGTGGTTTTTCCCTCCATGGGCAGCACGCCAAATAATTGAGGGCAATGTGGCTGCAATTGTGGACGGTAGACTTGGTGTTTCATATAATCTTGAGGAGGCTGAGCGTCTTGGTTTAGTAGCAATCTGGTGCATACAAGATGAAGAGGAAATGAGGCCTACGATGGGGATGGTAGTAAAGATGTTAGAGGGAGTGGTGGAAGTGGCCATTCCTCCACCACCCAAACTGATACAGGCACTAGTTGCTGGCGAGTCTTATCGTGGGGTTAGAATGGATTCTGGTATGTCTACAGCTGGTGGATGCTCAGACTATAAAGTTGGATTTTCGAGTGCTGGTTCACGGTCATCTCTTGGTAACTTCTCTTCCCCAGTGGATGAGAATTTGGAGTTCTAATTGACAAGATTATTGATGATAACTGACTAAAGTTGAATACAAAGTCATTATCTCTGTTTCCATATCTTCCAAAATTTTTATATTAGCCTTCTTTTCTCTGTCTGCTTTCGTATGTTAAAAATGTACGAGATGCTAGAGATCATGCAGATGTAAATCGAGTTGATGCTTCTGAAAGTTTTGCTTCCATGGAATTTCAAAATGATATGAAAATGAACTACATTCAAAAGCCCAATCATGTGTATGTATATATAAAAGCATTCAGGCCAACTGCCAGTTGAATGATAATTGAAGTTCTAGTTCTTGTTACATGAAATGATTGCTATATGTGTTGATAAACGATTAAGCCATGCCAAGAATCAGAAAAAGGTAAATGACGGCCCTCAATTAGAAAGCCAATTTTGTTAGATGAATCTCTAATTTCAACTTTGGTTAAGTAGTTCATTCTGCTCAGTTTGTTTAAAACACGCTTCATTTCTCGTAAAAGGGTTGGCAGGGTGTCTGGGGTCATTGGGTTATGATTACGATTTTGACATTCCTCAACGGTAGATACGAAGGATAATGCCACACCATCATTTTTTTTTTTTATTGCAAAAGAGGTTAGTGTCCTTATAGGGGATGGCGGGGTCGAATTCACATTTACATAATCTTAACCACTGGATTAAGAAGAGAAAGTAAATGCCCCACCATCATTATTTCAACGAAAAAGGCTCTTGCAGCTCCACTTGCTTCAGCTTTTCACCGCACTGTGGCGCACTTGGATTGTGAAGAGTCATGGTCTCCTTTTTTGACGCTTTTCTAGTAGGAAAAGAACAAAAAACTACAACCCTTTGCAATTCTTTTATACCTCAAAAACTTTAGGCGCTCGTGGTTGATATCTCTGGAGAAATTTTGACAATGTTGACATGTAGTTGGATTCAGTTCATCTTCCTTCAGCACCAGTTTTTTGGTCTGAACCCAAAAAACACTCTTGAGCTAGCCCACACGTTTAAGTCGTCCAACCAGAAACTTTTAGATATGAAAAATTATCCATGGGAGATAAAGTTAGAGGGGACCATCCATAAATGATCATGTTATAAACATATGATTCGGAAGAAAAAAATCCTGAACCCGAATCAAGATGTCCCATCAAAGGGAATTCAGTTCATCCATGTCACCACGTGAGTTGTGACAACTTTATTATATGGACTGCGTAGGACCAGATCCGGAACCCTTCGAGCAACAGAAAGTAACCGTATTAACTGTAAACAAACAAATTGAATAATGCTTGTCCTAAGGCTTGAGAGGCTAAGACTCAGTCAACTCCCTCCCTCCCTCCCTCCCTGATGTTTGAAGCTGATTTGTTTCCATGGTCATCCTAGTTTATAGCCAAAATCGACCATCTGCTAAAACCCCTTGTGTACACTTCCAAAAAAATAAAAAACCAGATATATAAATTTAAATGAAAAAAAGGAGAAGTATTGATTTTCCTTCAAATTGACTCACTGGAATTCAGGAAATAAAACAAAAAAGCAGAACAATCAAAAGGGTGCATTAAAAGTGTGCCAAAATTGCGAATACTAAAGAGTATGAGCTGCAAAATGCAGAGGGGAAAATCAATCCATCCTCTGCTGAATCATCACCTACAAAGCAACTTATGGAGAACAAACTGGACAGTACATCACCACCATTGGCCTCCTCCTTGGAAGCTGTCGAACTCCACCCTGCACCTTCAAGTTTAATTAGTGATGAAGGAGATTATCCTCCTATAAAAAGTTTTACAGATGCAAAAAAAATATGTTCTATTGAGTCGTCCAAGCTATGGGCAATTGCTACTCCTATTGCATTCAATATTTGGTGCAATTATGGAATTAACTCGTTCACCAATATCTTCGTTGGCCATATTGGAGATGTCGAGCTTTCAGCTGTTGCCATTGCTTTATCTGTCGTTGCAAATTTCTCTTTTGGCTTCATGGTTAGCTTCTCTAACAGAATAGGGGTTTTTTTTTTCCTCCTTCATTTATTTGGTGCAAGCAAATTAATGTGCTTGCGTTCAATGAAAAAGCTGTCAAATTTAGCAAATGTTGCAAGATTCTTGGCTATCAATCTTAACACTGTTCAATTTACTGCAGCTTGGAATGGCGAGTGCACTAGAGACGTTATGTGGACAGGCATTTGGTGCAGGACAAATAAAATTACTTGGTGTATACATGCAGCGATCATGGATAATCCTATTCGGAGCCTGCTTTGCCTTGTTACCTCTCTACTTGTATGCCACACCAATCCTAAAACTCCTTGGACAAGAGCCTGATATTGCAGACCTTGCTGGAGAGTTCACCATGCAAGTTATACCGCAAATGTTCTCGTTAGCTATCAATTTTCCAACCCAAAAGTTCCTACAGGCACAGAGCAAGGTTGGAGTCTTAGCTTGGATAGGTTTTGTGGCCTTAATGGAACATATTGTGATAGTTTATCTCTTTGTTAATGTGTTCAAGTGGGGCACTGTCGGTGCTGCTGCGGCTTATGACATCTCGGCTTGGACGATTGCAATGGCTCAAGTTATCTATATAGTAGGTTGGTGCAAGGATGGTTGGAAGGGATTGTCTTGGGTAGCCTTTAAGGATCTTTGGGGTTTTGTCAAACTTTCTATAGCTTCAGCCGTGATGCTTTGCTTAGAGATTTGGTATTTCATGACTATAATCGTTCTCACTGGTCACCTTGAAGATCCCATCATTGCAGTTGGGTCTCTTTCTATCTGGTCAGATCACAATCACTAGTCTGAATCTCTCTATTCTGCTCCTTTTTTTTTTTCATGGTTTTTAATTGAGTTTAATCCAATTGAGTGTTTCAGCATGAACATCAACGGCTGGGAAGGCATGTTATTTATAGGAATAAACGCAGCTATAAGGTAATCAAAAGGGGGTGAAAGTCAATTTTCTTCTGTATTATTATGATTCTTTTTTTTCTTTTTTGGGGTTTTTTTTATTACCCTTTGGAGTACTGATGTTGATGTTGGTTGCTTTTTCAGTGTTAGAGTCTCCAATGAGCTTGGATCAGGACATCCTAGAGCCGCAAAATATTCTGTCTTTGTCACGGTTGTACAGTCTCTTCTTATAGGAATAGTTTCTGCAGTCATTATCGTGGCAACTAGAAACAAATTTGCTGTCATCTTTACAGATAGTAAAGAGATGCAAAAGGCCGTGGCTAGTTTAGCTCATCTTCTTGGCATAACCATGGTGCTAAATAGTGTGCAGCCAGTTATCTCAGGTGAGCAATTGACCCCACTTCAAGGGAAAACAAATTGGAGCATTTGAAAGTTTCCAAGCATGGGATTTTTGAAATAATGGTGTACCGTCATTGCAGGTGTTGCTGTCGGAGGAGGTTGGCAAGCCTTGGTAGCTTACATAAACTTGTTCTGTTATTACATTATTGGTCTCCCGCTTGGATTTGTTCTTGGTTATCCAATCAAATTAGGAGTGGAGGTGAAGTATCATATTCTATGTTTGGTTTTTTTTTTTTTTTTTTTTTAATCTGATTTCGACATTTTTTATGTTTTTAGATTATAATTATTTTATATAAAAAAAATGTTAACGATTTATTTGATATTATAAAATTTTTCACATAATATTATACATCGATCTTAGAGAATAATGAACTGCTTAATATTGCTGAAACTTAGGCTGCAAATGAAGAAATCAACATGAAAATAACCCACATTTCTTCTTTTTTTTTTTCTTTTTTTCCCCTTTATTATCTAATACCATTAATTGGGTCTCACTGCTGCAGGGAATTTGGGTTGGCATGATTTTTGGGACATTCTTGCAGACATTAATCCTCTTGTATATTATCTATAAAACCAACTGGAACTCAGAGGTGGGACATTCTTGCAAACATTAATGACATTTACGAGCTTATACAACAACAATAAATTAAATCTTATATCTTATAATTTTAAAGTCGATTACATTAAATGTCAAAAAAATTATGTTAAATCATAATTTTAAATTTTTTTGTATTACCCATTTTTATTAACAATAATTTTTTATGGATTTTTTTAACTCTCATATCATTTTTTAATACTGAAATTTATGAGTTTATAAAATTTAAAAATAGGATTGATCAAATTTCCCTTTTTTTAACCATTGAGAATGTTTATTACAGGTCGAACAGGCATCTGAAAGAATGCGACAATGGGGAGGAGAGCTTGGCGACGATCATGGATCTAATGTTACCAAGTAAACCTGGACTTGATTTGGACAATTTTTGTACACTTTTAGAAATGCCTAGTTTCACATTTTTTTATCTTTGTTTTAGAGCTAAGTAAAAAATTTTTTACCTTAATTCATTTAAAAATATAAATTAAAACAAAAAAATCATCATTTATTAATAATCCATAATGACCAGTCTTCGTACCAAAGTTCAAAATTTCATAAAGAACCGCCTCAAAGAATTTGCGGGACCCACCGCCACTCTGTAGATTTTGATATTATATATTCAATCCCGATATCTTTTGATGAATTGCATGTTGGACCCTGGTTACGTCTTTCTGTAATTTTGTTTTGAGCCCAGGACATTTATAAATTTATTGGTGTTGAATTCTAGTTCTAATTTTATTTGGGAATTTGTGAATGAATTATTAAAGGCTCGCCCTTTTTGACCTTTTGTAGTAAAGTTCAAATCTATGACTCTTCTTTTTGTTTTAATCTAGAAATATGTACACTCACTCTATGGGTTGGAAGAAAATAAATTGAAAAAATTTTGTTTGAAGATAAATTTTTTGTAAATTTTTAAGGAAAAATGGGTATTTTAAAGAAAAATAAGTATTTTTTAAAACATATTATATAAAAATTTGAAAGCATGCACAAAAAAAAAAATTAAAAGCCATGAATATTTTATTTTACTATCTGATATGTGATTTTTTTTTATCTTATTTAATTGAGTTAATACCATTTAATTCGTAACAATAAACTTATAAATAGTACAAATATATAATATTTTTTAATAAAATATACGATTAATATATTATTTAGATCTTGAGCTATATCACCTTAGTAATTAGGTACCCATATTTCATTTTTGTCAAATGTTTTGACTCGCACATTAATTCTATTAATAATAACAAGTAGATGTATCCAAAAAACAATCATTAATATCATGAAACGTGATATATTTTATTGGTTAATATTTATCACATCAACGTTTTAATTAATGGTAATAGTTGATTATGTAAAATGTTTGAAAAAATAAAAAATTCATATACGGGCTATGTTGATCATACGGGCTATGTTGATCATGTGCAAAAAATATATATATTGAGTTGAGTTTAAGATAATAATAAAAAAGCTTAACCAACGTTTATTGGTTCGAGTGATAATAAATTTAATTTTTTTAAATAAATATTCGATTTTGAATATTGTAAATGAAAAAAATATGTTTCGAGAGAATTTACCCATTTTATAAGGTTTAACTTGACTTGATTTTAAAATAATCGAGATTCAAAATGATTATCGAACATCAAAAGATCTCAAACAAAAAAAATAAAAAAACTTGATAGAATTTCAAACCAGTTTTAAATAAAAAATTTTAAGAGCTGCATCAATATGAAAAATTATTTTAATAAACATATCAAATAACTCTTCTTCATCTTATTATTAATATTGTTACTTTTGTGTATAGCATATAAAATACCCAAAATTATTAACAAGCTAGAATATGGATTTTCAAGCCCAAATAAAAAACTTTGCGAACATCCCTAATTGGAAGGAGAAAAAAAAAAAACAATGTCTTACCCATTTAATTTTGGAAAATTTCATAATATTTGTTAAAGGTTATTGGAAATCACACTTTTTTACAATAAAATGGAAAATCATTATAAGTATTTTTTTTTTTTCAAGACATATTTCATCGACCATAAAAAGGTCGAATGAACCATTTGATAGGTTTTTTTTTTTTATTATTTTTATTTCCTGAACTACTATTGGACCCATCCGAACCCACAAATTATAGTAACTTACCTTATATTTATTTTCCGAAAAGACATTATACCTCAAAATTTAATAACTTTCTCGATGTAACATAAGTGTTATATAAATTGAACTTAAATTGATAATTTTTTTTTTTTGTATATATGGATCATTGATGACAAATAAACATATCTATGGGTCCAATGGGCCATTAAGCTCAGACGTTTGGATATGATTTTTCAATTTCAAATTCAATTTAATAAAAAAATTATTTATTTTTAAAATTTTTCATATGTATACATTTTTTTAGAAGCATTTAAATTAGTCAATAACATCCAAAACTATACAAAAACAATTCATGAATAAAGTGGTTCAGTCCAACTCACAGACCTAATCTATTTTAAGTGGGTAAAATTTTTTATTCAAATCCAAATAGGATTGTTGTTGGTTTATTTCTTAGTAGAATAATAATTAATATTAACTATAATGAGAAATTATTTGATATATTGACAATAAAATTTTTTAGTTATATAAGTGGAGTTAAATAATAACAAATGTCCATTTGTTTTTTAAATTAATTTTTTTTAAATATATAAATTACATGTGTTATTATTTTGATCTCGCTTATAGAATTAAAAAACTTTACTGTCAATATATCAAATAATTTTTTAATTATAAATATATAACTAGCTAGTTTTTTTTTACATGTGTCATGCATGGTATTTTTCATTATATTTTTTATAATTTAAAATTTTAATTTATATTAATTTTTATATTTTATGTATATAAACAAATATATTTGTAATCATTTATAAATTGTAATTTAAAATTATAGAAACAGTCTATTTATAAATTATTATGAAAAAATCAAAATAAGTATTATGAAAGTTTTGAATTATGAAAGTAAAATTACATACAAATCTCAAAGAGAAAGTTAATTTCTTATTCATAGTCACATATACTCTTAAAATATATACTATTTTAGTACGAAAACTAATATTTACATATCTGATATATCCTAAAATACTTTATTATATTTGATTTTGAAACTTTATCATGCCAATTTTTTGTGACGAAAATCTAATTACTCTATCTTTTATAAAGAATAAAATATTGATTGTGAGAAAAAATTATAAATATATTTTTTTATAATTATTTAATTTTAAAATTAAGATAAAAAAGTTAGTATAATTTTAAATTTAGATATGTGTGTAATTTTAAATTAAAATAAAAAATATTTTTTATTTTAAATCATACAAAAATAAGGGCAAAAAATTTGATAAATAACAATGATTTAACCACAAACTTATTTAAATTTATGTGAATATTGATATAGACTGTATATTTTTTATGGTTTCTAAGATTTAATGATTTAGTCTTTAAAAACTATTTAAATTTTATATTTAATATACATGGATAAAAGTGAGGTATGTTATATGTTTTTTCATGTTTAAATTAAGATAAAACTTATGTACTTTGAAAGACTAGAATAAATGTAAGTTTTCAAATTTTTAAAAATTGAATAATTGAAGAATAAAATTATTTAAAACTTTCCTACATGTCAATATAAGATTAATATATTATTTAGATCTTGAACTGTATCATTTTTTACGATTTAGTGATTAGGTACCCATATTTTATTTTTGTCAAATGTTTTGTCTCGCACATTAATTCTATTAATAATGACAAGCAGATGTTTTCAAAAACAATCATTAATATCATCAATCGTGATACATTTTATTAGTCAATACTTATCACACCAGCATTTTGATTAATGGTAATAGTTGATTATGTAAAATGTTTGACAAAATAAAAAATTCATATACCTAATCATAAATATTTTTTATAAGTATCAAATCCTTAAAATAAATATAATTTAAGTGTCAAATTATATATTAACCCTAAAATATATTACAATCCACAAACTTAAATAAATTCTTAATATTTGAGAGTTGAAATATTTATAAGTGTATAAATCCAAAATTCTAAGAAGCTTTCAAGTTTGAACACCTTATTTTAAAATATTGAGTTGTCATCAGTTTCTTAATTTAATAATTAAGGAGCTTTTAAGAAAATATAAAACTCTTAATTTGGAATCACTAACATTTTCCCCTTTTCATATGGGCTATGCTGATCACGTACAAAAAATATATATTGAGTTGAGTTTAAGATAATAATAAAAAGGTTTGACCAATTTTTATTGGTATGAATGATAGTGAGTTCGATTCTCTTTAAGTAAAGTCTTAATTTTGAGTTTTGTAAATAAAATAAATAAATTTTGAGAGAGCTTATCTCCTTATGAAATTTGACCCGATTTGATTTCGAAATAATTGAGACTCAAAATAACTATCGACACTCAAAAATTAAAAAAAAAAAAAAGCTTGATAGAACTTTCAAACCAATTTTGAATAAAAATTTTAAGAGCTGCATCAATATGAAAAATTATTTTAATAAACATATCAAATAACTCTTATTCATCTTATTATTAATATTGTTACTTTTGTATATAACATATAAAATACCCAAAATTATTAGCAAACTAGAATATGTATTTTCAAGCCCAAATCAAAAACTCTGCGAACGTCCCTAATTGGAAGGAATAAAAAAACAATGTCTTACCCATTTGATTTTGGAAATTTTCATAATATTTGTTAAAGGTTATTGGAAATCACACTTTTTACAATAAAATGAAAAATCATTATAAGTAATTAATTTTTTTTCCAAGGCATATTTCATCAACCACAAAAAGGTAGAATGAACCATTTGATATATATATTTTTTAATTTCCTGAACTACTATTGGACCCACCTGACCCCACAAATTATAGTTACTTACCTTATATTTATATGCAGAAAATACATTATTCCTCTAAATTTAATAACTTTCTTAATGTAACATAAGTATCGTGAAACTAGACTTAAATTGATAATTTTTTTTTGTATATATGGATCATTGATGGCAAATAAACATATCTATAGGTCCAGTGGGCCATTAAGCTCATACACTTGGATATGATTTTTCAAATTCGAATTCAATTTAATAAAAAATTTATTTATTTAAATATTTTTTCATATGTATACATTTTTTATAAAAGCATTTAAATGAGTCAATGACATCAAAAACTATACTAAAATAGTTCATGTATAAAGTGGTTCAGTCCAACTCACAAGCTTAATCTATTTTAAGTGGGTAAAAGTTTTTATTCAAATCCAAACATGATTGTTGTCGGTTTATTTCTTACTAGAATAATAATTGATATTAACTATAATGAGAAATTATTTAATACATTGATAATAAAATTTTTTAATTATATAAGTGGGGTTAGGATGATAACAAATGCCTTCTTTTTTTAATTAAAAATTTTAAATATATAAAGATATGTGTTATCATTTAAATTCAACTTGTAGAGTTAAAAAATTTTACTGTCAGTATATCAACTAATTTTTTAATTATAAATATAAACTAACTAATTTTTTTACCCATGTCATGCACGAAATTTTTCATTATATTTTTTGTAATTTAAATTTTTATTTATATTAATTTATATATTATATATATAAATGAATAAAAATTATCGTAATCATCTATAATTTGTAATTTAAAATTATAAAAATTATCTATTTATAAATTATTATAAAAGAAGCAAAATAAGTATTATAAAAGTTTTGAATTATGAAAGTAAAATTACATACAAATCTTAATGAGAAAGTCAATTTCTTATTCAGAATTACATATACTCTTAAATATATATATATATTATTTTAGTAAGAGAACTAAAATTTACATATTTCATATATCTTAAAAGACTTTCTTATATTTGATTTTGAAACTTTATAATGCCAAATTTTTGTGACGAAAATCTGATTACTTTATCTTTTATAAAGAATAAAATATTGATTGCGAGAAAAAATTATAAATATATATTTGATAATTATTTAATTTTAAATTTTTTTAATTTTTAAAAAATTTAGTTTATCCAAATTTATTTTTAAATTAAGATAAAAGAATTTAGTGTAATTTTAAATTTAGATATGTGTGTAATTTTAAATTAAGATAAAATATAATTTTCTTTTACTTTAAATCATAGAAAAATAAAGACAAAAAAAGTGATAAATAACAATGATTTAATCACAAACTTATTTAAATTTATGTGAATATTGATAAAGACTATGTATATTTTTTTATGGTTTCTAAGATTTAGTGATTTAATATTTAAAAACTATTTAAATTTTGTATTTTATATACATGGGTAAAAGTGAGGTATGTGATATGTTTTTCATGTTTAAATTAAGATAAAACTTATATACTTTGAAAGACTTGAAAAAATGTAAAATTTTAAATTTTTAAAAATTGAATAATTGATAGAATAAAATTATTTAAAATTATATTACATTTCAATAATATAAGTTATCCATCTAAGCGTCTACATAAACAAATCTTATTTGGTTTTTATGTGTATATTTTTTCTGATTTATAAGATTTAGTGATTTAACTTTTGAAATTTATTTAAATTTTGTATTTCATATACATGGATAAATGTGAGGTACGAGATATGTTTTTTTCATGTTTAAATTAAGATAAAACTTATGTACTTTAAAAGATTTAGATAAATATAAAGTTTAAAACTTTAAAAATTACATAATTGATATAATAAAATTATTTAAAACAATCATACATGTTAATAATATAAGTTATCCATCTAAGTGTTCGCGTAAGCAAATTTTATCAAGTTTTTATGTATGTTGTAATATAATATAATATATAATATATAATATGATATGATATCAATGGCTTTTATTTATAAATATATAATATGATATGTTAATAATATAGGTTATCCATCTAAGTGTTTGCGTAAGCAAATTTTATCAAGTTTTTATGTATGTTGTAATATAATATTATATATAATATATAATATGATATGATATCAATGGCTTTTATTTATTGTCATAACGTTTAGATTTTGGGATCCATCGCTGACATTGATTTGAGAAGTCGTCACCGATCTTTTTTATCTAGGTGCAATTGGTTACCGAAAAAATCTATTATTTTAAGGAACACTTAAGCCTAAGGGTCTTTAAAAGAATAGGTTTAGGTCTACTAACCAGAACAGGGTTCGGGAGTATGGTTACATGTGAGAAAGGTTATAGCACCATCACAACGTCCATCGAAAGCTGGTACCAACTTAATTTTATGTTATCCAATAAGCTTTAAAAATTTACCAAGTAATTAATGATTGAAAATTATTCTCAATTAACTCTAATACTTTTAGCAAAAAATTGAAAAAATTTTCTCACCTCAAGAGTATGCAAAGAAACTACTATTTCAGTTGCAGAGGCTCTATCGTCGGATTATTTAACATTAAAAAAAAATCAAAAAGGAAAATAAATAAAATAGAAAAATTGAATAATGATTCAACTTTAGATATAAATCATTTCCTCTTTAAAAACTCATTACTTTTGTTCAAGAAAAATTGATACTTTTAACTTTTCTTCAAAAGCATTTGAGAGTTTCTATTTTAAGAAAAATTGATACTTTCAACTTTTCCTTAAAACGTTTTTTTTTTAAGGAAAATTGGTACTTTTAACTTTTTCTCAAATGTTTTTCTGAAACTTTAATTTCGAGAAAAATTGATACTTTCAACTTTTCCTTAAAAATATTTTTTTTTAAAAAATTTATTTTTAAGAAAAATTGATACTTTCAACTTTTCCTCAAAAATATTATTTTGAAAATTATTTTCAAGGAAAATTGATACTTTCAACTTTTTCTCAAAAATATTTTTTTAAATTTTATTTTAAGAAAATCATTTTAAAAAATAAAATAAAATAAAATAAAAATAAAATAAGGAATACCAAATTATTCTAATATAATAATAATAAATAATATTAAAAATAAAAGAAATAATAATAATATTAAATAAGAAAAAAAACCTTTGGAACGGCTTGGCTAGGTTTAATGTGGCTCGACTCTAGGAAGAATGATGGCTTGGATGTGCGACTCAACAGAAAAATGGTTTGGCTCGACTTGAACTTAGGCGGAGAAGTGAAAAGCTAGATCGGGTGCGCTACGAGTCGGGTCGGATCTTGACAAAACGCGTGGATCCTGTGGGTTTACTAACACAAAAATGACATCATTTTATGAGGGTATATAAGGCTGAAACTCGATTTTTCTTTAGATTTCCCTTTTCCTTTACTCTCTTCCCTTATTTTCTTCACTTTCTCTCTAAACAATCCCATTTTCTGATTGATTGTTCTACCAAAATCTAGAAAAAGATGCCAGAATCTTCAAAGTTGGTCAAAAAACTCGTAGAAAAATTTCGTCAGATTCTGGAAAATTTTCAAAAATTTTCTAGAAAAAAAAATTCCATAAATTTTTTTAAAAAAATTCTAAACACAATCTTGCTTATGTTTCCTCTCTCTGTTGTGTTTTTTCCTATCCTGTGGGTTCTGTTTCGACACCTATTTATAGGGATTGATCAGAAGAGTTTTTAATCAATCTCAATTCCCTCTGGGATTTGGATTCAATCTTTGAATCCAATCTCACCTCTGTCAGCCCCTAAATTCATGGCAAAATACACTTCAATTTTTTTGATCCTAATCCTAGTAAAAAATTCATCAAGAAAAAGATAAAGTAAAAAAAAATAATAAAAGAAAAAAATATATTAATTGATAAATAAGAATAATAATAATAAAATATATTTAAAAAATACATTTATAAATAAATAAATAAATAAAAATAAAAATGCAAATGGGCTTACCCTTTTGGATCAGCCTAATTGATCTAGGCCTGGACCAAATTAAGTGTCTACAGCTGCCCCTCTTTGCACATTTTCTGTGAAACATGAATTGTGCAAAGACATAGACACTCATTTAAGGCTCCACTCAACTCTTTTTTTTTATTTTCTTGTTTTTTTTTTGTTGAAATTTTGATTAAGTTCCTCTAAGTAGAGGCTCAACGACTTTGAAAAAATAAATAAAACTCTTATAATCAGAGGCTCACAACTTTAGAAAATAACTAAAGCTTCTCTAATTAAAGGCTCAATGACTTTGAAAAAATAAACAAAGCTCCTTTAAACAGAGGCTCAATGACTTTAGAAAAATAAACAAAGCTCATCTAATCAGAGGCTCACAACTTTGGAAAATAACTAAAGATTCTTTAATCAGAGGCTCAATAACTTTGGAAAAAATAAACAAAGCTCCTCTAATCAGAGACTCCACGACTTTCAAAAAATAAATAAAGCTCCTCTAAACAGAGGCTTAACGACTTTGAAAAAATAAATTGCTCATTAACAATCATGTCCAAAGGAGTCAAAGATCATGTTTAAAGGAATTTCAGGAGATTATGCCCAAAGATCTTACAAATCGATCATGATGCCAAGAGATATCCTTTTCCAAGGATTAAAGACTTACCTCACAAGCTTTTTTCTCGAATGAGAATTGAAAAATCAAAAAATCTTTACATCTGTCTTCTTTATGTGGGATCTTGGAATACCTCTGCTTCTTGAATTTATGCACTATACTTTTTTGAATGCAGTATATGCTATGCGAAATTCAATGTATGCTATGCAAATGCTGGCTAATTAATTTTTATTTTATTATGGTGCTTAAGTTTTTCAAGCTTTTTTCTTGTGCCCTGAACCCTTTGTTTTTCAAAAATCAAGTCAGCGTAACTCTTAATCATCTCTTTCATTTAATTCTCGTATCCTTTTTGTAGGCAGTCTCTTTCCAAATTCAATGTTTTTATCAGGAACTAAACATCTCAAATTTGCCTTTATCATTCTTGACTTCTTCAATATAATGTAGAAATCTTTCATGTCATTATTCATTTATTAATAATTATTTCAAACTCAAAAAGTAAGAATGCATTTACACATTTCTTTCATTATAAGGTATTAAGAAGAAAAGAATAAGAATGATCGGGAAACAGTCAACAGAAGAGGCACACAAAGAGTGAAATATAATGTCTTTTATTAGCAAAAATATTGACAAACTTTAACCAAGAAAGAATTACAAAAATAGGCATAGGGAGACAATGCCCAAAAATGAACAATCGGACAATCATGATAGCACATCTCAAGGTTCTTCTGAAAACTCAATCATCTGATGCACTTAACAACTTAGAGCTCCTCCAAATTTGCTAGCCTACATGCCAATGAATTTGTAAATTTGATGCTATATTCTCTTTATCTAAGCTGCATTTTCAGGTTTTCAACTTAGATAAACCCCCTATGACTCAAACTGCCCTTTTAGGATTTTCGTCTTAAGTTCTCATTTTTCATTCTTTTTTTTTTCATTTTTTTTCTCATTTTTTTCTTGTTTTTAAAGCATAATACTTCTTCACAGCATCATAATTTATAAGATGGGATAAATCATTTCCATCCATCTCAATCAGTATTAACGCTTCACCCGAGAAAACTCATTTCACCACATATGGTCATTCTCAATTAAGAGTCTATTTTCCTCTATTATTGTGTTGATTTGAAAGAATTTTTTTTAAAACCAACTCGCCTTCTTGAAAGCAACGAGGTTGAACTTTTTTATCATGGGCCTTCATCATTCTTCTTTGATATAACTAACTATGGCATAACGCTGTCAATCTTTTTTCCTTAATGAGATTCAATTGCTCATAGCGCTCTTGAATCCATTCAGCCTCTTCTAGTTTAACTTCCTTCAAAACCCTCAAAAATGAGATTTTTATCTTCATTGATAGTATAACTTCTATCTTATAAACAAAAAAAAATAGAGTTACCCCAGTAGAGGTATGCACTGACGTTCGATATGCATGCAGTGCAAATGGTAACTTCTCATGCCAATCTTTATAGGTCTCGATCATCTTTTCAAGAATTTTTTTTATATTTTTATTTACCGCCTCAACTGTCCCATTCATTTTTTTATGGTATGGTGTTGAATTGTGATGCTTGATCCTATACTAGGCATATATTTTTTGTATAATTCTGCTATTTAGATTCTTGGTATTATCTAAAATGATTCACTCTAAAAGTTCGTATCTGTAAAATATTTCTCTTTTTATGAACTTACAGTCACACTCCCAAATGATGCTGTTTTCATTCATTTCATGAAGTAATCTATCATCACAAAAATAAATCTATGCCCATTAAAAGCCTTTGGGATGATAGGATCAATGACATCCATGTCCCACATTAAAAATGGCCAAGGTGGTACCAAAACATGTAAAACAGATGGTAGAGCATAGATCTTATCAGCATATATATGGTATTTATGGCATTTACGAGCATAGTCAATGCAATCACTCTCTATTTTCAACCAGTAGTATCATGCTCTTATGATCTGTCTCACCATCATATGTCTACTGGCATATGCCCCACATATTTCATCATACACCTCTTCAATAATTTTTTTTGCTTCAACCTTATTTACGTATCTCAGTAATACTTGATCATGGTTTTTTTTGTACAAAATATCTCTATCCAGAAAAAAACTTATAGCTAATCTTCAGATTACCCTTTTATCATTCTCTGTTGCTTGAACTAGGTATTGTTGATCTTTAATATACTGTAAGATATCGTAATACCAGGGCTTCCCATCCTAATTTTCTTTTACATTAGAGCAATGAGCTGATATATCTTTAACATCTAGCCTGATGGGTTGAATGTCAGTATTGTCATTAATTTGAATCATTACAGCTAGAGTAACCAAGGCATCGACAATCAGATTCTTCTCTTGAGGTAAATGGTCAAATTGGATATCTTCAAACTGCTTTATCAACTCTAAAATATACTTATGATATGAAATAAGTTTTGAATCTGTCATCTCTCATTCTCTTTTCAATTGATATATAACTAGAGCTAAGTTTTCGAACACTTTTAATGCTTTCACTCTTCTATCTATAGTAGCTTGTAAACCAATGACACATGCTTCATATTCAATGATGTTATTTGTGTAATTAAAATTTAACCTCGCTGTTATAGGATAGTATTGTTCTTCTGAAGAGATTAGAATTACCTCAATTTCATGTTTCAAGGCATTGACAGCTCTATTAAAATACATCTTCCAACATTTTTCTTCATGCTTCTCCTTCTCTAATTGGAAAATAGTTATTAGATCTTCACCGAAGAATTCCAATCTCATTAGTTCATATTCTTCAGTAGCATGATCTGTAAGAAACTCAACTATAGCACTTTCTTTTACTGCCTTTTAGCTTACATATATGATATCATATTTTGAGAGCATTACTTGCCACCTAACAATTCTTTCAGACAAAGAAAGCTTCTCTAAGATGTATTTGATTAGATCCAGTTTGGCTATAAGCCAAATAGTGTGATAGAGTATGTATTGTCTGAGTCTTTTAGCAGTCCAAGCTAATGCACAACACATTTTTTTCAAAGAAGAATACTTGGACTCATATTCAGTGAATTTTTTACTTAGATAATATATAGCTCTCTCTTTTCAATCAAATTCATCTTGTTGCCCTAGCACACATCCCATTGAATTTTTGTCCATTGTTAGGTATAAAATTAAGGGTTTCTCTAGAACAGGTGGCACCAACACGGGAGGACTTGACAAGTATTGCTTAATTTTATCAAAAGCCACTTGATATTTCTTATTTCATTTTCCAAGATTATTCTTATAGAAAAGCTTAAATATGGGATCACATTTGTAGGTAAGCTGAGAGATGAATCGAGAAATATAATTCAATTTTTCAGAAAACCTCGAACTTCCTTTAGTGTACTCGAAGGTGACAAATTTTGAATGGTCTGTATCTTGTCTGAATCGACTTCAATCCCTCTTTTACTGATCACGAAGCCTAGCAACTTCTCTGACCTTACCTCAAAAGTGCATTTGGCTGGGTTTAGCTTGAGTTAAAATTCTCTCAACCTTTCAAATAGTTTTTTGAGAATGGTGACATGATCTTCACCTTCTCAAGATTTTACAATCATATCATTCACGTACACCTCAATCTTTTTATGTATCATGTCATGAAAGAGCGTCACCTTGGCTCTTTGATATATTACCTCAGTATTCTTTAACTCAAAAGGCATCATTTTGTAACAAAAAGTTTCTCACATGATTACAAAAGTAATTTTTTTCATATCATCTGTAGCCACTTTTATCTGATTATACCTTGAGAACCCATCCATAAAGGAGAAAATTAAATGTCTAATCGTATTTTCTATCAGTGTGTCGATATGAGACAAAAAAAGTTATCTTTTGTGTTAGCCCTATTCAAATCACGATAGTCTACATATATTTATACCTTTTTATCTTTCTTAGAAATTGGTACTATATTGGCTACCCATTCTGGATACTTAGTCACTTGTAAGAAACCTACATTAAATTGCTTCTTCACCTTTTTTTTTATCTTTAGTAGCATTTCGGGTTTCATTCACCTCAATTTTTATTGGACTGGCTTATATTCTAGCTTTAGTGGTAGTTTATGCTCTACTATCTCCGTACTCAGCCATGACATATCTTGGTAAGACTAAGCAAACACATCTTCAAATTCTTTAAGTAGATTTTTTAAACGTTATCTGTCTTCTGATGGAAATGAAGTGCCAATTCTGACCTCTTTCTTATTCTCTTCATATCTCAGATTCACCAAGTCAATTATCTTCTGATGAGGTTTAATTGGCTTATTTTCTTATTTAATCAATCTCATTAGGTCTGGAGGTATAACATATTCATCAAAATTCTCTTCATTGTCAAGTTCATCAGTGTTAATTGAATTCTCAAAACTAACCCCTTGATTGTTATCATAATTATCTTCTTGTTTATTTATGAACCTGAAATTGAATGAAATGGGATATGTTGGCAAGATGTGTTTGGAAAAAATTAGAAAAATGAAAGCACAAGAAGAAATTAATGAAAATGCATACTTTCTAATTTTTATTAAAATCATAAAAGATAAATGATCCAAACAAGAAAGATCACCTTAATGCCTTGGGCAATAACTATTGGGATGTACAATTACATTGAATTAGTTTTAAAGGTCAAAGGCATTTCAATGGCACTCTAATTGTTCAGCTCATAATCTGGCAAACAAAGGTAAACCCACCTTTTTTGCTTAAGCCTTATTTCATCTTCAATAGCATGGATGGTTAATTGAATGAAAGCTTCTTTCATACTTTTTTTTACATCTGGGTACATGAATCCTCTAGGCCTGAAAGTCTTATACAGGTGTGGGATAATCATTAGTCTTACTGTTTTACCTGCTGGCCTTATCTTGATCTCTCATTCTACTACTTCGTAGCTTAGGCCTAGCCTTTCGCTATTGTTTATCATTGTTGGGGGTTTCTTTATTCCTTAGAAGTTTTTATCCAGTCTTATTCCTAGATATCAGCCCTTATTGATAACTTGGCTCGTCACTATCTTTGAAAAATGTTAATTTTTAAATCTTTCACCCATAAAGTTGACCAGTTCAAAAAATCGATAGGAATATTCCTATTTTTCTTCGGTAGCTTCCACATATGGGACATTCAAAGGTTGGGTCACTAGCATGTCTTCATTCTCAAACACTACCACTAAC